CCCTCGCCCCCCCCCGCCGCTCTTTCTCGCCCCAGGTCCTCCCCAGGTAGACCCCCTCCTCGCGCCAGGTCCCGCTCCTTCAGGTTTTTCTCAGGTAGACCCTCCCGTGCCTCCGCCTGTTGAGGTCACTGGTGACTCAGGTCCTGCTGGGGGTGGTGCTGTCTTTGGGGGTGCTGGGCCTGGGGGTGTGGAGCGTGGGGGTGCTGAGCCTGGGGGTGCGGAGCTTGGGGGTACTGAGCCTGGGGGTGCGGAGCCTGCGCGTGAGGAGCCTGGAGGTCCTGAGCCTGGGGGTGTTGTGTCTGGAGGTGCTGAGCCCGAGCGTGAGGAGCCTGGTGGTACTGAGTCTGGGGGTGAGACACCTGAGGGTTCTGAGTCAGCTGCTGCGCGGTCTCCTTGGAGTAGTCGCCTTCGTCCGCGTGTGCCTCTCACCTCACAGCAGCTGCACGACTGGTACGGTCGCCGTCAGGGTCGAGCTTCTGGAGCTCGGGGCTCTACTGCTGGAGGTACTTCTGCTGACGTCACTGGAGCTAGGAGTGGTACTGGTCCCGGAGGTGCTCGTACTGGAGGTACTAGAGCTGCTGGGGCTGGAGGTGCTACTGAGCCTGAGGGTGCTACTACTGGAGACCCTGGGTCTGGGGGTGCTGCTGCTGGAGACACTGAGGCTGGAGACCCTGGGACTGGAGGTGCCGGTTCTGGGGGTGCTGCTGTTGGTGGAGCTGGTCCTGGAGGAGCTGACGCTGAGGGTTCTGGGGCTGCTGGAGGTGCTGGAGCTGCTGGGGGTACTGGAGGTGCTGGTGCTGGTGTCACTGCACAGCCGCGCCTGTTCTTTGCTCCACCGTCTCCGTCGTCTCTGCCACCGCCTGACTCTGTGCTTCACCAGGTTCTTAGTCTCCCTTCGTCTACTGGTCTTCCGTTACAGCCTGGCTCACCGCTGCCTGCTCCTTCTCCTTACACTGAGCAGACAGGGGGTCTTACTGAGCGTCGTGCGCCTGCGTCGCGTCCTGTCTCGCCTGTCCGTTCTGGTCGTCGTGTTCCTCGTCCGCGTCAGTCGGCTGTCCCCGACACCCACCTCGTAGTCTGTCGTCCTTCCTCTCCTCCGCAGCGTGTTCCTCTGCCGTCTCCTCCTGCGTCTTCTCTGCCTGTTGTTCCGGACCCTGAGTCTGAGTCTGTCTGTCCTCCGTCCGTCGGGGGTGAGTGTGCTCTTGGCACGAACGTCCTTGAGGACAGACAGGAGGACCTTGAGTGTCTTGCGGCCGCTGCACCTCATCTCGTGGCCATGCTGCTTGCCCCTGAGGGAGACCCGGATGCACCAGACATCCCGACCCCGCGCTCTTACGCTGAGGCGATCGCGGGTGAGTACTCCTCTCAGTGGCAGACAGCCATGGACGCAGAGATGGCATCCTGGAAGTCCACAGGCACCTACTTTGACGAGGTTCCCCCTCCTGGGGCGAACATCGTCGACGGCATGTGGATTTTCAGGGTGAAGCGGCCTCCAGGTTCTCCGCCTGTCTTCAAGGCTCGTTACGTTGCTCGAGGCTTCAGTCAGCGGGAGGGAGTTGACTTCCTCCAGACTTTCTCCCCCACCCCGAAGATGACCACTCTTCGGGTGTTGCTGCACGTTGCCGCTCAGCGTGACTACGAGCTTCACTCCCTTGACTTCAGCACAGCTTTCTTACAGGGCAGCCTGCACGAGGAGATCTGGCTGCGCCGCCCACCTGGCTTCACTGGGTCGTTCCCTCTTGGTACCCAGTGGAGCCTCCGGCGGCCGGTCTACGGTCTCCGCCAGGCGCCACGTGAGTGGCACGACACACTGAGGACGACACTTGCGGCTCTTGGGTTTGCTCCTTCGACTGCTGACCCGTCGCTGTTTCTGCGCACCGACACTTCGCTGCCGCCGTTCTACATCCTCGTGTACGTCGACGACTTGGTCTTTGCCACTACTGACACGGAGGCTCTCGCCCTGGTGAAGTCGGAGCTGCAGAAGAGACACACGTGCACAGACCTGGGTGAGCTGCGCAGTTACCTTGGCTTGCAGATCACCCGGGACAGAGCACGCCGCACCATCACTCTGACTCAGTCACACATGGTGCAGCAGGTCCTTCAGCGCTTCGGCTTCTCCTGGTCCTCGGCACAGGCCACTCCTCTGGCTACAGGTCACTCGCTCTCAGCTCCACCTTCGGACGAGTCCGTAGAGCCGAGTGGTCCTTACCCAGAGCTAGTTGGCTGCCTCATGTACCTGATGACCTGCACTCGTCCTGACCTTGCGTACCCTCTTGGCCTTCTGGCTCGCTACGTGGCTCCTGGTCGGCACCGAAAGGTGCACATGGATGCTGCTAAGAGGGTACTACGCTACTTGTGCAGTACATCGGGCATGGGGCTCGTGCTTGGAGGACGGGGCGACGTTGTCCTCACTGGTCACTCGGACGCTTCTTGGGTTGACGACCAGGCTACGCAGCGGTCGTCATAGGGTTACACCTTCAGTCTTGGCTCTGGCTCTGTTTCTTGGCGGTCTACGCGCTCGTCTTCTGTTCTCAGCTCCAGTTGTGAGGCTGAGATCTACGCCACAGCCATGGCTGCACAGGAGTTACGCTGGCTCACCTACCTGCTGACCGACTTGGGAGAGAGGCCTCGTTCTCCTCCAGTTCTGTACGTCGACAACAAGGCAGCCATTGCCTTGTGTCAGGAGCACAGACTGGAGCACAGAACGAAGCACATCGCTCTGCGTTACTTCCTGGCTCGAGAGTTGCAGCAGCGGGGTCAGCTTCGTCTTGCTCACGTGGCCACTCGGGCCAACACTGCTGATATATTCACCAAGGCACTTCCGTCTGGTGATCATCAGCGCTTTTGTACTTTGTTGGGCCTTGTACCTACGTTTCCACACTTGCTGTAGACTCTGCTTGTACTCTGATCTATATATATATACCTGCATGCTTGCTCTTGCTAGGTAGAGATCACTGAACTGTTCTTGTTGCATATATACCTCTGCATGTGAACTGGCCTTGTGGCCTGTTGCTTGTGCTCAGTGTGTGTGGTGACGTTGTGATCCAACCTGAGCTTGCTTTGCTTTTCTTGACTGGTCTTGTGACCTCTTGCTCTCCCCCACTTTGCCTATGGGGGTGTGTCAAAGATATACATATGTTATATTTGTGGGTAGGCTGTAGTGGGGTAGATACTGTGGGGTATAACCCCTTAGGGTTTTCTCCTTGTACCAATTCTCTCGATAGTCAACTTCACTCATGCCTAGATTCTAAGACTTCTCGTTGTGACCATGGACTAATCTTTGTCTTTCTTCTGCCTGCAGGTGCCTTCATGGGTGGCAAGTCTCAGTGGGTGGCAAGCCATGGCCTGCTGAAGCGTCTCAACGCTCAAGCACCGCTCCACACTCCAAGCTCCTAACCCACAGATAAGTTTCAGTCCCTACCTTCGAGCTCTCTTTTTCATGCACATGGCTTTATTTTGCTTGTTGATTTGCTTTGTTGCATGCTGTTTTCTTGCCTTCTCTTTTTTATCATGGACTAATCTTTGTCTTTCTTCTGCCTGCAGGTGCCTTCATGGGCGGTAAGTCTCACTGGGTGGCAGCCATGGCCTGCTGAAGGGTCTCAACGCTCAAGCACCGCTCCACACTCCAAGCTCCTAACCCACAGATAAGTTTCAGCCCATACCTTCGAGCTCCTTTTCTCATGCACATGGCTGTATTTTGTTTGTTGATTTGCTTTGGTGCATACTGTTTTTTTGCCTACTCTTTTTTATCATGGACTAATGTTTATCTTTCTTCTGCCTGCAGGTGCCTTCATGGGCGGCAAGTCTCACTGGGTGGCAAGCCATTGTCAAATAGTACTTAGGAGATTAGGAGCTTGGAGGGAGAGAGTAGCATAGCGAGATGGATATCGAGGGAGTTTGGGTTGGCCAAAGAGGTTCAATAATGAGAAACAGTACAAGGATATAGGCAAGGAAAAGAGAGGGTACACCACCAACAGTTGATGCTAATAACTAAACTAGTACACTAGCTAGCTGTAGGCAGTTATAAGATATGCAATATAATTCAACAGCCATGTGGCCAGTGCACGAGAGGGGTTGAAGTTTTGAGCATTGGCTGGGGACTCGATTCCGGGCCAAACCGGACTGGTTCTGTCCCCTCCCGCCCCCACCAAGTGACAAAGCTGTCTGGCCAGCAGTGATGTCATTTGGTGGAGGTGGGGGTGGGCAGAGCCAGTCCCTAGTAGGGCACCCGCACGTCTTGGTTCTGGCAATGCTCAAGGCTCAGCCTTCCTCTCTGCCTGTGCAGTGCACGCCAGTCCATGCCGGGGTGAGCATGGATGGCATGCTGCCATGGAGTAGCTGTGGACCTGTGGTTGATAGCATCAGACATAATTTCATTGGCTGAGTGTACCTCTGAATATTATTTCATTTTTATTAGAATGTACTCTAGTGTAGCGATACTAGTACTCTGGATAGGGTGTAGAATTTCAATCTGAGAAATGTCTGCTCAGGTATTCTTAGAAAACGTAATTCTACAAACATTAGTCCTGTGTTCTCTGGCCTATATCAGAAAAAAATGCAGACTTGCAATCCAGGTTGAGGAACATTCATGTGGTAATTTTGGAAAACCTCTAGAACTATCTAACAAAAAGTACATCGGAAAAGCACGAAATCGCATGTCACCGCATTGAAATGCAGTGCACTCTTTCGAAACTCTCCCTTGGCTTTTACCTACCATATCTGGTCTCCACTCCGCCCACGTAACCAACTGGTGAACAATCAGGCAGACCAGACCTCATCCCAACAGCCTTGAAGTTGGTGCGATTCATGTCCGTCGCATCGCATCTCTTAGAGCAGAAATCCTCATCCCATTCCCATTCCAAGGCGAGAACGTGAAAGCAGAGGTCAGCTCTTAGAGCAGAAATCCTCATCCCATTCCCATTCCAAGGCGAGAACGTGAAAGCAGAGGTCAGCTAGGCTCGCGTCGCGTCGCGTCCGAAGCCGAAGCGTCGGAAATGTCGATGCTGCTGTCCCATCGCACCGCAGAGCGCAGCGATGCCATGGTGAGTTCGGGCCGGTCGGGTGGCACAACCAGCCATTGCCTGCTGCTTCGCGGGAGCAGCATCTGCGCGTTACAGGCGAGAGAATCCGCCTCTGCGATCTCGATCGGTACAATCGGAGCCGTTCATCCATTCCTCGCAGCGCGACCAGCGTTTTTAACAAAGGACTAATCTATCGTCGTCGAGGGATAGTGAAGGGAGAGGGTGATCGGAAGCGTCGCCGTGTGTATCGCTGCCCTGATTTCTTCGTGTTCACGGTTCCGCTCTTGACGCGCGTTACGCAGTTTTCGCATCGTACTGCTCGACAAACTGATAGCGGGGTGGAGCATCGAGTCTGCACATAGCAGCAGACTGCAGGAGAGAGCAAGAGAGAGCACCAGGCAGCAGCAGAGAGCAGCCGCATCCTCGCCCTCCCCCGTGCCTCGCCGCTGTTCCCTTCGCGCCGTTCCGCGCCGATTCTTTCCGCGCGCCTCCCCCTCGTCTGCTCCCTCCAACGATGCGCGCGATGGGCGACGAGGGCTGCGACGACGCGAGGGCGTCGCTGCTGTCGCACGAGAGCGAGCCGGAGTGCGCGCAAGTGGCGGGCATGGCGAGTGACCTCGTCGTCACCATCGGCCAGCGCGCCTTCCACGTGCACCAGTACCCGCTGTACGCGTTACTAGCCGTGATCCGTTCCACGTGCACCAGTACCCGCTTTACGGTTTGCTTTCTCCGTTTCTCAGTACGCGTTTACGCCCTTGCTACACGTGCTCATGCGCTCTAGGATATGTAACCACGATTCATGGTTCAGACGCACTAAACTCTCCCTCCGTCTAGACTTTCCTCTCCTGTCTCCCTCCTCTCTCCTCCCTTCCGTCCCTCCGCTCACCCTCCCTTCCCCTCCCCCCCTCCCAGCTTCTCCCTGTCAACGGTGATAGCGAGCGCAGCAGCAGCAGCGGGCGAGGGCACGGGCCCCATGCAAGCGGACCTCTCGTTCCTCCCTGGCGGCGCGCTCTCCTTCGTCCCCATCGCCTGCTACTGCTACGGCCGCCCCTGCCGCCTCTCGCCCCACTCCGTGCTGCTCGTGCGCTCTGCAGGTACTGATGCCCCTCCGAAGCAGGAGGGGGAGAGTGTGGGAGTTGGCGTGTGGGGAGTGCGGGAGTGGGGAGTGCGGGAGTGGGGAGTGCGGGAGAGTGGGAGTGTGGGAGTTTGCGTGTGGGGAGTGCGGGAGTGGGGAGTGCGGGAGAGTGGTAGTGTGGGAGTTTGCGTGTGGGGAGTGCGGGAGTGGGGAGTGCGGGAGAATGGGAGTGTGGAAGTGCGGGAGTGGGGAGTGCGGGAGAGTGGGAGTGTGGGAGTGCGGGACAGGAGGTGATGTGAGCCGAGAGTACAGGTGATGACCTCGTTTTATGTGCGGTACAGCACTGCACCGTGCTGTATCCCATGTGTTCACCATTGCTGCTCTGCACCCATGCTCTCCTCATCCCCAATCTTCTCAACCCCCTCCTCCCGTTCTTATCATTCCCCCTCTTCTTATCCTCCCCCTTTCTCGTCCCCCATGTTCTCACCTTCCTTCTTTTCTCCCCCCCTCTCCTCCTCCCTCCTTCTCCCCCTCCCTCCGCCAGCATCGCTGCTGGAGATGAACGCGTGTAGGTCCAGCCACACACTGCCACTGTTTCTGAGGCGCCTTAAACCTCCCTTTCCCCCGCTCCCCCCCCTTCCCCGTCTCCTCCCTTCCCCCTCTCCCCCCTTCCCCCGCTCCCCCCTTCCCCCTCTTATCCCTTCCCCGTCTCCCCCCTTCGCCTCCTCCCCCTGGCAGCATCGCTGCTGGAGATGAGCGCGTGTGGGTCCAGCCACGCACTGCCACTGCCGCAGCTGGCAACGCAGCGCCTGCAGCACCTCCTGCAGCACTGCCCGCCCTGCCTGCACGTGCTCTCATCGTATGTAGGGAATGGGAGGGGGGGGGGGCGGGATGGGATGGGATGGGATGGGATGGGATGGGATGGGATGGGATGGGATGGGATGGGATGGGATGGGATGGGATGGGATGGGATGGGATGGGATGGGATGGGATGGGATGGGATGGGGTGGGATGGGATGGGGTGATATATGGAATGGGGGATGTCCATAGTGAGCCTTGGCATGTGATGCGCATCTGTCCGTTTCACATGCGTATGCCTCTTCATGTCCTTTCTCGTGTGGACTGTTGACAACTCCTCACCTCCTCTTGCATGCACGCCCGCACATTCCTTGCTCCCCTTTTCACCATTGCCTTCACTCGCATCCCCCACCCACTGCCTGCCACCCACCGTCTCCCATCTGCCACCATGGTAATCTCCCATCCATCTTCCTCCCACTCCCCTCTCGCACTCTATCCTAACCCACCGCTGTGTTCTTTTCCGCATTGACCTTCCGTCCCAACCCTCTGTCTCTCACTCTCCCATGTCTCTCTCCTCCCCTTTCTAACTACCCCCCCTTTTCTACCTTCCTCCCCTTTTTCCCCTTTTTCCCCTTTTTCCCCTTTTTCCCCCTTTTCCCCTTTTTCCCCCTTTTCCCCTTTTCCCCCTTCCTCGCCTTCCTCCCCTTCCTCCCCATCTTCTCTCTCCCATCCGTCCTTCCACCCTGCACGTCTATGTGAGTGCAGGCAGAAGCAGGGAATGGACACACAGCAGCTGAGCAGCACACGGGAGCGCCACTACTGCCAGTGAGTGCAGGACTGGCGGCAGCAGGGGCAGCGGCGGCAGCAGCAGGAGGAGAAGCAGAGGCGGCAGTGGGCCACGGCCTATGGGGATGTCTCCTTGCTCACTCATATGCTCGACTGGCAAGAAGCTTTCCGGTCCGTGCTTGTTGTGACAGCTATGTCTTTGAAACTCCAATGTGCTGCTGACTAGTTGTGTGATCATGCTGCTGACTACTTGTGTCTTTGAAACTCCAATGTTTTGATTGAAAGAGGCCGGGCCAACAGTCTCCATGCCCCACCACTCCTTCCCTGAATGCTCTTCCTAACTCCTAAACACGCCTCCATTGCTCTCTGTCGCTTTCTCCCCTCCCTCTCCCACCCTCCCTACAACACACCACAGGCAAGCCCTGCAGCATCTCGCTCGTCTCCTCTCCGACCCCGCCACCCTGCCTCTCTCCACCCACCTTCTCTTCCACCTGCTCTCACACGCCTGCCTCTGCACCATGCCACGCTCCTCCCTGCTCTTCCTCTTCCAAGCTGCCACACACCGCCCCACTCAGGAGGTTGGGATGGTGCAGCATCTGTTCCCAATCCCCCATGTCCATGTGAGCGCATGCTGCCTCTCTCCCATGCCGTGCCACGCCATGCCTTGCGCCGCTCCTCCCGTCTCTTCCTCTACCAACCTGTTCCACAGCCGTGATATACCAAGCTGCCATCCCACTACAAGCCGCCGTATCTCTCCTACGCCATCTTCTCCTTTTGCTACTTTCGCATCTACACTAGAAGAGTGAGGATGGAGGCTCATTGTGGACGGGGTAACCATATGATGGGGGGAACAAGTGCATACATACCCATAAACCACATGAATGGTACCGGTATGGCATATATATGATAATTTCCCAATACGTGCCATCATGGGGAGACAATCATGGTCTGTTACACTACAGTTACTACCGTAATATGTGATCAGCTTGGTGTGGTGAATCATTCCATTTGTCACTTCTTGTCGCCTCCTATCTGGTATTTACCTCTCTCGCCTCTCCTTGGATCGACCCCCATCACGTCACCTCACCTCACGTGTATTGCTCGCCCCTCATCACGTCACCTCACCTCACGTAGACTCCCCCCTTCATGCTCCCCGCCCCACTATTGCCCTATTAAACACGGTCTCCCCGCGTGTCGGCCCCTTTCTCTGGCTGACATCTTCACCAACCATGGAATCCATAAATATCAAATCAGGCATAGGTACAGAGAAGGGACCTATACATAACAACCATCATCAAAATCTGCAGCATAAGTTCCATATGTTGCTACTACACGCGTTCCGACATCCGAAGGGGTTAGGTGAGAGGTGATTCTGTGGCAGCTTCAGACAAGAGTGTTAGACGGAAGCAGCAGAATCATGGGTGGAGGTGGAAGGAGGAAGACCCCGGGCATGATGTTAGTCTGCAGAGGCACAACACGGGAAGAACGAAGGCTATCAACACTCCTCTTACGGAGGACAATTCAAATGTACGTTCCAAGGACAGACCTGAAGAGCAGCAGCACGACGGCGGAGCTCACGATCAGCAAGGATGGCACGACGCAGTGCATCTGCAGGCAAAAAAACAGAACGATATTCAGTAATCAAATATGTTAAAGAATCCCCCTAACCCTGCAAAACATTGCAGCCCCAACCTTCCGTTATCAGGAACAGAAGAGAGAGAGAGAAAAAAATAATAATAATAAAAAATATAAAAAGAAGCAGAACGTATATATCGGACCTTTTTCATCCATGTGAGAGCTCCGGAGACGCATCATAAATGAGCGAACGCCACGACGTCTGTCGGCGTCCTCCACGATTTCTTCCACAATGTCTTCCATTTGCAACGCCCTCTCCACCACCCGTTCCATCATCCTCTTCAGCGCCGCTGCTGTCGCCGCATCCGTGCTGTGCGAGCCTTCGCAAATGCTTCTGATAATGGCTTCCTCGATAGAGCTCTGCAGCTGGTTGTCGCCGTGCACAGCGTGGCAAGCTCCCAGCGCGTCGATGTAGATAGGAAGGCACATGTGCACGGAGCCTTCTTTGTTGCCATAAATCACCCGGCAGGATACCCGCATGACATCCATTGGCTGGTTGGTGCTCAAAAGACTGATAATGTGCAAAGGGGAGTCTGAAATTGTTGTAAATGACTATTTGAGAACCTCCTGCCGGCTCTTTATATCTGGCTGGTGAAGGGAAACGGAATCCTCCTCACCTTGGTTTTGGGGGACCAACTGTGGCTCTCTCACCTGTCTCCCAGGCTCCGCCAGAGAAATTGCCGCGGATGATACATGCATTCCCATCCCATCCCATTCCCAGCGCTCTTCGCGACATGCGGTTGCCCCTGGCAAGGACAGTTTTTGCGAAGACTAAACAATGAAGGGCGACACTTAGGCATTTCGCAGAGTTTTCGCAATATTCGTACCGTGCACAGGTTAATTGTGGTTGGTGGGAGACAATCATGGTAACTAAAGGGCCTGTGGCACACGAACGTCGTAAGGGTCTGCCGCACCACAGACGAACAGGAAACGAAACAGAATCGCAGGGGGGAAACACATCTCGTCAAGATGCTGTCGTCGTACCAGCGTGTGACACGTGGTGTAGAACCTCTTGTCTCTTCAGAGAAACTTCATTTGCACTCAAGTGGAAGCAATATCATCCGGTGTCCTCGATACTGAGATTGTGCAGTATGAAACAGGCTATGTTGTTACAACGACTGGACTACAACCTCTTTACAAACCTTTTATATCTGCAGAGGTCCTCCAACGAACTATGAATCGTAAACCCGAAGCCCTAAACACTTCATACCTCAAGACCTCGAGTCGCAACGCAAGTTGTCAACCAGCAAAACTGTAGGAACCTTACAGATCCTCCTCAGGGGCATGCGGTTTAGAAGATATCGCGTTATAGATCTGTGACTGGCAGATTAGGACGGTAATAAACCATTAACTCGCTCGCTGGTGATTGAAGTGAGCGGCTTGCGGGATTGCGTGCCTGGTGGTCGCTATCCACATGAGCGCGCTTTAACGTTTCGCCTCCCCCAGGGCGCGCGGTCCCAGTAGTTGGGGAACATGGCGTGGCGCGGGGGGCGAGGGGGGCGCGGAGGCCGCGGGGGGTTCGGAGGGAGGGGCGGCGGGGCTGGCGCAGTGGCACGGGACGATGAGGGGGCGATCGTGTTTGCGGGTCGCGACGAAGGGCCCCCGCCATTGTTTCCGGTGCGGATGGGTTGTTCAGCCGTCCACATGTGGACGCGTTTGTGCGCTCGTCGTTTGTCACTGCAGCGGTCTGGTTGCGGGTGGTTTCTCCAAACGCTCTCTCCGCCGTCACGCGTTCCTCGTCACTGGCCCTTATCTCTCCCCCCCTGCTACACCCCCTCCCCTGCTACCTCCCACTTCCTTCTTCCTTCCCCGTTTTTCCTCTGCCCGCCAGCCCGTGGAAATGCTGCCCGAGCTGCCCGAAATAGCTCCCAAGGACGAGGCGATGCTGCAGCGGCGGCGGCGCATGGCGTCGTTCTGGCGCTACTCCGCCTACTACGTCGACCGCCCGCCGCCCGACAGTAAGGGGCGCGCGGGACGCGGGGGTTAGGTGGCAGGGGAGAGAGGGGGAAGGGGATGAATGGGGTAAAGGAAATGAGGGTGAGGAGAAGGGAGGGTGAAACGGTTGGGATGGCAGCGCGGGGGCAATGAAGAGGGGGAATGTGTGGTAGGTGGATTGGGCAGTAAGATCAGGAGTGAGGGGAGAGCATGTGCACATGCAGCACAGGCCCCCCTTCACATCTTTGTCCGCCATCCCTAGCTCCCCCTCCTCTGCCCTTCCACTCATATCCCCTGCCTCCCCAACCCCTTCCTTTCCCAACCATTCTCCTCTCCCCATCTGCTCTGCACCCCCCCCTCCCCTCCTCCCTTCCCGTTCGCCTCTCTCTTCCCCAACTTCCTGCCAAGTGCGGCACAGAGGGAGCGGCGGCGGACATAGCAGCGTACACGAAGCGCCACAGCGGCTCTTCCGGCGCTGCCCCTTCGTCCTCCTCCGCGCCCCGTGCCTCTCTCGCTGACGTCATGGACCTCTCCATCGCTCACTACCCCGCTGAACTCCTCTCCACTGGTGCGTGCCATGGCGTGATGGATGGGATGGGATGGGATAGGATGGGATGGGTGTGACGTGATGCTATGTGATGTGGGTTGATGGGGTGATGCACCAGCACAACACGCCTCTTCTGCATTCACAGCCATTAGCATCCCCACTGTGACCAGTCCTGTTTCTTGTTTGCATGCTTTCATCTCTCCTCTCTCGGATGCGCCTGTGCTGTTGCCATCATCAAGATCTGTGGCCCTGCTGTGCTTATGTGCGGTGCTGTGTGGTGATACGCGCAGGAGGCAAGAAGAAGGTCAGGAAGAAGAGCGGCAATGCATGGGTGGTCGGCAAGGGTTCAGCCGCCAATGGTCAGTCTCTCCCTCTCTCCCTCTCTCTTCCTTTCTTGTTTCCCCTTCCTCTCCTCCCTTGTCCTCGGTTCCGTATCCCTCACACATGCATTCATGTGCATATGTTCATGTGATCTCACACCAGCTTCATTCTTCTCGATACATGCCCAACCAGCCGCTATTGTGTCCCCGCATTTCCCCAACCTCCCCTCCCTGCATGCGTGCAGACCTCAACCGTCTGGACCAGCTGGCAACGTTGGAGCAAAAGCTAGATAAGAACGCAGCGGTGAGACCCTTCTGTGCCTTCCACTCCCTGCCGTCACAGTCTATGCACTGGAGTGAAGGTGCCACGCCATGCTGTGCCGTGCATGCCAGCGCATGACAGTTCTGGCTGCCTAACAGTGTGCCACGATGTGTGGGATGGCAGGACCGGGAAGGCAAGGACGAAGAGAAGAAGGAGGGGGAGGACGATGAGGAGGTGGAGGAGGAGGAAGAGGAAGAGGAGATAGGGGAGGATGATTATGCTCAGGTATGCCAACTTTCCACAGCCCTCATTCATACCGCTCACTTGCATGCATGCCCTATGCTCCCCCCAGTTTACATTCCCTTTCAATCGTCATTGATTTTTTTGTTTCCAGCTGTTTCGTTTCCCTGGATTTCTGGCACATCTTCGCTAACCTTCCCATTCTTCGCGCGTCGCCGTCGTGGTTTCCTATCAGAACTTTGGGTTTGACGACGATGACGAGTATCTGGATGAGGATGATGGCGCTGATGGTACGTGCCTGCTCTCCTGCACACTCACACTCTGTCCCTGCAGCACTGCCTTCCACTGTTCATCTCAACCTTTCATTGTTTGCAGGATATGTTGTACGCTTGCTGCTCTTCAATTGTTCATCTCAACGTTCCTTTGTACACCAGTCACTCTCAGTTCCAACCCTAGACTTTTTACTCTCTCATCCTCTCCCCCGCCCCCCCTTTCCCTCCACCTGTTATGTCCATCTGTCCATCATCCATGTGATTGGCCTCCCAGAGGGCCCTGTGTTCTAGGAGCTGACTGACAGGGAAGCACTGGCACATGTGGCAGAGCTCCTGGCTCAGCAGCAGTGGGTGAAGGTACAACTCTACCACATTCAATGTATTCGGTGCATTCGGCTTAGGGAGGTCACTGCGCGAACATACCATATGTAGGTGGCTGACAGTTGGGACCCACTGCCCAGTGATAGCACTAGCAGTGAATTAGTTGGTAGAGGATGGTAAAGTGGCTCGATGTCAAGCTGTAGGCCTGGACAATACTTTCTCACATTTTTGTGTTGCCATTCGTTTACCTTGTTGCCTTTTGTAGAAAGAAAAGGTGTGGATGAATTCTTGAAATTTCGATTTTTTACCTAGTACAACCCATGTTCAAGTCATGTCAAGCGAAATTGCATCTAAGGCTGTGCTGAGCACACCTGTAACACTCATGAACGGGGGGGCATACGGATTGACAGGCCATGCGGGAAATTAGGGTGGTTAGAGGCGGAAGGAGACTGGGAGGAGGAGAGACATTAAGGCTGGCAGATGGAGAGGCGTGTGAGGATGGGCTGACTGATGGGCACATGTTGGATTGGGGGAATGTGCTGACGGCGAGGAGTGCAATGGCCATGAGTCTTGCGAGTGAACCGGCCTGCCGCACGTGCGCTTGAGCGCCAGTTAGTGGCTAATCGCGATTCGCGTCGCGAGAATCAATGGAAGGTGGGCGGTGGTGCGTTCTGAGCGACGCATGGGAAGGATCATGGGAGACGGGCGACGAGGAGAGCGATGGACGGAGAGCCGCGCCGAGATGCGCGATTGACGTGGAAAGGAGGCAGACAGATGGGCGCAGAGTCAATGTCTGGCTTTCTTAGGCGCAGGGGCGTCCTCGTCGTCATCGTCATCGTCATCGTCATCGTCCTCGTCACCGTCACCGTCACCGCCATCGTCACCGTCATCGTCGTCATCGTCAGCGTCGACTTCATCATCGTCATCCCCCTCGTCGCCATCGTCGTCCCCTTCATCCCCTTGCTCCTCCTCATCGCCGTTCTCCCCGTTCCCATCGCCGTTCTCCCCGTTCCCATCGCCGTCCTCCCCGTCCCCTTCCTCCTCCACATCTTCATCGCCATCTTCTTCGTCTCCCTCGCCTTCCTGCCCGTTTCCTTCCTCCTCCCCGCCCTCTTCCCCACCCTCCCCGTCCGCATCGTCATCTCCGCCATCATCCCCATCGTCGCCATCACCATCGTCGTCCCCTGCCTCCTCCTCGTGGCCATAGCCGTCGCCATCGTCGTCGTCGTCGCCATCGTCGCCATCGTCGTCATCGTCGTCGTCGTCATCGTCGCCTTCTTCGTCCTCGTCGCCAGCGCGAGGACAAGGCGCGTCGGAGGCCTTCCCGTTGACGGCGGTGGGAATGCGCGGAGCCAGTGGGTCGAGACCAGGGAGGTTCAGTTCTGATAGTTTCTCCCCAACCTTGTCTTGATGGTCGCTCTGCAACGACAAGGGCGAAACGCGCAGAAGGGAACAGATATGGTACTTGCGATACGCGGCACCTGGGAAGGCATTCAAGACCATACACGGGATGGAATTTGCGCGGACAGATGCGACCGGCGACGATATGGTCAAATTGCGGGACCAGGCTCACCGATTTCGTCGACGCTTCCGCAAGAAACTCGGCGAGGGCCTCGTGTGTGATGCCACACGGCACGTCAGAAGGGAAAAACTGACCAGGGAGGAAAGTGAACTTGGACCATGGCTGCCTAAACCTCGTCCCTTCCAGCTCCGCTGCTGCAATTGGTCCTCTACACATGTTCACAGGCGTGCGCACCCCGGCACAGATGGCTGAGAACTGAGAAAAAACGGACGAAGCGCGTAACTACACGTCTGAAGGTGGTAGCTTGTTGAAGGGTGCAAGAGTTGATTAGGGAATTCCTGCTGCTGGGCCAAGGGCAGAGGCAGGGGGAGCAGGAGGGCGATGGGAAGGAGTGCGGGGAGAGAAGAGCGGGAGAAGTTTGGGGAGAGGAGGGGCTGGCGCTCGAGGAAATGAAGGGGAGGAGGGGCGCGATGTGAGGAGGGGGGCTTGGGATATGGTCGGAGCAAGTAGGCGCAAGGCAACCTCGCGGAGAGGTGTCGAGGCAACACCTCTGCGATGCGGAGTGCCCCACCATTTACCCCGACGCTCAGGGGAATGGGGGTGGGGTAAATGGTGGGGCATTCGGAGGACAGGTGGAAGGGGAAGGGGAATGCTGTGGAGCTCCCGTGGGCTGGGGGAAATGTGCGCTGCTCGGTAGCAAGATTGAGGAAGCAGACGAACTCGCGACGCGGTGAATGAGTTCTCGGGGTTGACATGTTTGCGTGGGGCGGGGGGAACGCACAGCTGAAAGAAGAACGTCGGGGGGCGCGGAAAACGAAGAGACTGGAGAATGAGCTGCGCAGAAGAACACCGTGCCTGGGATGCAATTGGAATGAGGGGACGGTTGGAAATTCGGATTCGAGAAAACATTGCGGAACGGGGAGGGTTCGCAAACCCTCCTTTCAGTTTCAGGCAGATCGGTTAAATTCTCTTCCTATTGGCTCTGCGCGATGCACACGATTCCAGTACGGTTCAATGTTCACCTGACCGATATCGCCTCTTCGATAGAAAATAAATTCCAGACCGTCCAGGAAAAAATGCACAGCTGTGGTCTCTCGAGCCGCATGAAGCTCAAATGCCGCATGACGATCAGTGTATAACGAGGCTGATCAAGAGGCACGTCAAGAAACGAAGCGCGCTACACGTAGACTCGGAGGCTTGCCGAACTTCGCAGTTCTGGTTCAGAGAAGGCTGACGTGGTTCATGATTCTATGGGGAACCTTGTTCGGGCTGATCCGCTCAAACCTGCCGTGCCAATTATCGTGTTATGTCCAGGTGGGATGGCCCAAAACCACACTTTATCAAAGTGTGAACACTCAATAACCACATTACAACTATGATAATTCTTCAAGCTCAGATGCAAACTTCTTCATACGTGTTGGCAAAATGCCCGTTGTTGCCATCGCCCTCATCGATATCCTCATTGTCGTCGGACTGTTAGTACAGGTACCTTTTTTTGTCGTTTCGATATGGTATATTGTGAAGAAAGCCATGTTTAGGAGAGGAAAAGGGGGTGTAAAGCTTTACACGACATTTTTTTCATGGTATCTCGCCATTGGCAGCCATTTTCTGATGATTCTGCACCACCAATATGTTTCCATGCTAATCAACACAACTGTGGCAATCCACGGTAATGTGTCATCCAGTTTTCATTCAGACTACACCCATGGCAAGCAGTAGTGGTGTGGCAAAAATAAACCCTTTAGGGGCATTTCTGGGTGTGAATAAGTACCCCAAAATCAGGCATGCCACAGCAATGGTAAAGACAAAGCCCCTTCCACAGCCACAAGCCCAGGTGCCAGTTTGATTGAATTTGTGTCCTGTATGGGTGCCGCATGTATGCTAACAATACCAGCGTAGAACAAACTCACACATCAAGCCTGCCCTTTGTTTCAAACAACATCCCTATGCACATCCGTAAACCACGTGCTTTGTAGGTTCAATCAAACTGTCAAAGATGCGCCATTGTCAGACGGCTTCAAGCCAAGTATAAGAGAAGCACACCGGGGGGCCCTGCAGGCGAACAACAAGAAGTAACCAGTAACAACATGAACTGAGAACGCCATTTCACGCCATATCCACACAGCCAAACCCTTAATGGGCATCACCTTTCGAATGTAACACTTCCGACTTGCTCAGTCCAGCCACATCACGAAAACGAACGTGTAGATTCCACTCACCATTCCTCGGGCGTTTGGTACATGGAAGCAGAGGAACCGAAGCACGAGTGCAGCATGGCGGTGTTGATGACTCCAGGATTGAGAGCCACAGACACACAACCAGCAGGCAGCTCCAGCGCCAACGACTTGCTCAGACCTTCCACCGCCCACTTGGATGCGCAGTATGGACCCACCTGATGCAGGGAGGAGGGGATACACATTGCTGATGACAGGAGGACCCGGTAACTAACAATTTCAAGCCAACAACATATGCTCACTCTCTCATAGCCCATGACGACGAACAATGGGGACCCTCTTGTTAAGGCAAAGTGAAGTCCAGGAGCCTTGGTAAGGGAGCTATCAAGCCAGCAAACATGGTCACTGGCATAAGTGAACTTGGTGATGCAATAGTGAGAATCGCAACAGTAGAACAGCGCTAGAATTGCTTCCATTGCTCCTCAACAGGCACATCAGCTCACCTCCGCAGCAACGGAGCGGCCCCATCCAGATGAGAAGTTGACAAACACCCCGTTGCGGCGGTCCACTATGGTGGGGGCGAAGTGGCGGATGACGTTGACGGTGCCCTTGATGTTCACGTCCAACACCCGATCCACCTCCTCGCATGGCACCTCCCACAACCTCTTGTTTGCGTTGATCAGCCCTGCACAGTTCACTGCAATATACATTGAAACACGTGAGTTAATGATGTGGACATGGGGAGGAAAAGGGGGAGAAGGGACGACAGGAGGAGGTGGGGGCATTTACCTAAGAGAACGAAACAAAAAAGGACCTAGAGACAATAGGGCAAAGGAATGGGGCAAGGCGGGTTGAGGGACGCTGACCTACTATATCAGGTACCCCTAAAGTTGAGATGACATTTTGCGCGAAGGCCTTCACCTCACCATCTGATGCCTGCAACCACACACGGACACTGAAATCATCACTTCTTGAAAGAAATCAGACTTCAGGCCCAAATATAATTTGGAGACAAACTTGGAACGCTGCTCAGCAGACACATGACACTCCTAATGCACCACTTAGTTGAGCCTTTGGCCAGACCAGAACAGCACTCACCACGTCTACCGCAACCATAAGGTGCTGGGCAGGAGAAGCAGCAGCAGCAGCAGCAGCAGCAGGCGGGCGAGTGTCATCCAGCAATTGCCGCACCACTTCCACCTGCTTCACATCTCTACCACACCCCGCCACCCTGTGGCCACGCTTTGCCAGCTCCAGCACCAACGCGCGCCCAAGCCCCTTGGTGGCCCCTGTCACCACCACCACCTGATATGATGACAGGAGAGGTGTACGGGAAAGATCCAATGGAGACACGGGATTTAAGGTGCCAGCCTGCACCCGTCCTAGTCACCTTCACCACCACTGCCGAACCAGACTCTTGCCGGCTCAACTCCCCACCAACAGTAGCTGGAAAGGAGGGCCAATAGGAGGAAACAAGCATGCTTCATTCGAATGTGAATGAGCGTTGGTAGAAAACCTAGGTATCCGCAAGCACATGTTTCATGACCAATGGCGGGTGGCTCTGCCAACGAATGCGGAAGGATCTCTGTTCACTGCCTTGCTTCCTGCCACCTCGAGACCCCCGTTTCTATCACGTACAAAATCTCGAGAGATGGTGAGCATGTGTTCGCTCACCTTGGACTGGCTCGTCGCAGAGCCGCCTCCATCCGCCATACTGCCTGCCTTGTTACGAGAAAAGAACGCCCTCGCTACTCCCCTCGCGGGCGCCTTCACTGCAGCTGAATGCAGGCTCCGCTGAACCGGGAAAGACCCTCTGTTCGCGACCAACGGCTGTTGCACGAAAGTTGACGCGAGCAACCGCGAATCGCAAGCACTGGGAGGTGGTTCCAGCCAGGGAGACGACTGGTGCCGCTGGTGCCCGGTAATAGGCGCAAACGCTCGAAGATCCCCGAAACTGGAAGGCGGCCGGTGGAGTCGAGAGAGAGGCGAGCAGAGAAGCATCTCGAGGATTGGCGTTCTTCTTCGCACCCGTTGACGGGTAGCGCGACGATGGTTTCACCTGCGTGCGACGCTTCAACCGGGTGACTGGCAGACCCTATGCCAACAGGTTTATGTACCTGGTCAACTAGTGACAGAAATTGACAGCGAATCTACTCACCCTCGAAAGAAGACTGAAGAACCTGCAACCTAGACGTGGTGCATCAGTGGCGAACGTTTGCCAAAGATTGAACTACGAGGTTCTAGACGGTATAGTACGGTGGTTCAACACCATGGCATGACAGTGCAAAACGGTAAAAAAAGTTCGTACACGTAGGACGACCCCCTTCCGCATAATGCAACACACCCAAGTGTACTCATATCGGGAACCTTTATTTCGATCCTGCTCGGTACAGTCACATCGGGAATGGAACAGTCACTCACTTCACAGCCTCCTGCTTCAACAGCACGCCATCGAACTTATCCCAGCCTGAACCTTGAGGAAAGCGCGGGAGCGTAAGAGGGACGCTCCTCAGCTTGCGCGCCAAATATTTGAGCCGAACCTAAATCCGTCCCTAGCTCCCCAGTCATCTTGAGACTCTCTCAATCTTGAATCGAATCCCGTACTTCCAATTTCTCGCTCTACGTGTTGCCGAGCCTGCCCAGACTACACAGACCTCACAGACCTCGCACCTTGGACCTCACCACCACGAACAAGGCTCGCAAAATCCAAAGCATAAAGCGTGAGAAGTGAGTTGAAAATTATTGGGAGGAAACCTAACTAAGGACCTATCAGCCTCGTCACGAATTTCGTTACCATCTTCCGCGCTGCATCTCGCTTGAAGGGGAAGATCTTTTGACGGCTTTCTGTCCTTTCCTTTTCTTTTTTATCTGCCTCGACTTCCGCTCAGTACATCCCCACATCTGAGTGTATCGTCTAGTGCCGCGCAGCCATGGCTGCGACACCCGTGGCTGCGGCGAGCGCGCGTTTCTCGCGCTCGCCGCCGCCACCGCAGCAGCAGCAGCAGCAGCAACAGCAGGCGGCGAAGGGCCTATCAGCTGAATGGGTGGCGGAGTTCTTCGTATCTCGCGGCGTATCGCCCTGGCTCTTCAGAGGTAGATACACTTCATTTACTGGTACCGTCCTTCTTGAAGAGTTTTGATGCGCTTGCACAGCCGCACATGCGCCACCCCTTCAAGATAGCTTAACAATATAAGTGTACCTTTGGGGAGTTTTTGTCGGTTCGCATGCTACTAATTTCTTCGTTTTGCTGGACCAGGCGAGGACGGGAGGAGCGGGATGTGCTTGTCCTGGCTAAGAGGCTCGTTGGCGTATCGACGCGACAGCGATAGTATCTGTTGTTGCGTGTCTCTGTGATTGGCAGCGATGCGGCAATGCAACTCTGCTGCCGCGCGCTGACCCCCCGCTTCTGTTTCCGCTAGGGTTCCGCGTCGTCGTGAATAGGCGCCTTGATCGAGTCAAGTAGTAAGGCAAGGCAAGGCAAAGAGGCAAGGCAGCGGATTTTAACAACGGCTGAGGCGCAATAGTCATGTTCTAGTGAGCGTGTTCATGCTCCTCTCATCTTCCTCCTGCGGTCTGCCTTTCACTTACTTAGCCCACCCTACCGGATTCGGTCCACGTCCCCCTCCCGCCTCCCCCGTTCCCGGCTCCCCGCTCCCCGCTCCCCAGAACTCTTACCCCGCCCGCTGCGGGGCGACAGCGCACTGGTGCTGCGGGACGTCCTTCCCATGCTGCGCACCGCGCTTCAAGACCGCGAGCTTCCCGCCTGGCTGCTCTCATCCATCCGCGTGGTCGCGCGCAAGAGGGACCTCGCGGAGAGGCGGAGGGGGGAAGCGGAGGGGCGGGGAGCGGAGGGCGCGGGGGAGGAAGGGGTTCCGAGATGGGTGCGGATAGTGGTCGAGTGCTGCACTGCGGTGAGATGGGATGTATTGCGGTGGGATGGGATGTGCGAACGGCTCTGATCCTGATTGATTTTCTGGCACAGTTTTCCTCACCTTCCTCCATCATCTCTCTCTCCCAACCCCCTCGCTCCCCGCTCCTCTCTTTCCCTCTCTCCATTCCTGTCCCCGCTCGTTCCCCCATGACAGATTTTGCCTTTGCAATGCGCCCAATCACTCTAACCCCATTACACTCCTTCCCTTCCCCTACTTCCACCCCCCCCCCCCACCCCGCGCTCTCCCCCCTGCGCCCTTTTTCCGCCGTCCTCCCCCATCCCCCAGGCCTTTCTGTCGTCCCTCCCCGAACCCCCACCAAATAACACCGGAACCCCAACCCGAGCCACCAGGCTAGCAGCAGCGGCAGCCGCAAAAGCCGCGGCAGCAGCGAAAAAGGCGGTAGATGCAGCAGTGGAGGAATTTGGGGAGAGCGTGTGGACTGAGAGAGAGGAGGGCAGTGAAGGCGCAGCAGCAGCAGATGGGCGCGCGGAGGAGGGAGGAGGGGAGGGGGAGGAGGCGAGGAAGGAGGAGGAGGAGCAGGAAGAGGAGGTGCTTTCTCGGGAAATCAGGCGCAGGAAGGCTTCTATTAGGGCGATGCAGCAGGTGGGGTGGGTGGGTGGGAGGTCACGTTTTGTTTGGTTGTTAGCTGTTCACCATGTGCCGCTTGCTGTCACTCAGCTGCTGTAACCTGCCTCCTCCACCTTCCTCCCTCCACCTGCCTCCTTTCCCCCGCCTCCTTCTCCCTGCCTCCTTCCCCCTGCCCCCTTCCCCGCGCCTCCTTCCCCCTGCCCCCTTCCCCGCGCCTCCTTCCCCCTGCTCCCTTCCCCCTGCCTCCCTCCCCCTTCCTCTTTTTACTTCAGCCCTCTGACTGACTGCAACAGCCACTTGCCGTCTTCCCAATGCTATCTGGGTTGCCCTCGCACGTCAACATTCCCACTCCCTCCTCGCCCCCACTCCACCTTCCCCCCTTCGTCTCTCCGCACTACTAACCCCCTCTTCTTGCTCAGGAGGCGGGCGGCAGTGTGGCGGGTTTGGTGGAGCGGTGCAGAGAGCGCTTTCCCCAGGAGGACGTGTGGGCGCACCTGCAGGAGCTCGTGGACTGGACTGCTGCTGCGCTGCCTCCCCCGCTGCTTCAGGTGAGTTTCTTTTTAAAAACTCTCAGAAGTGACTCCAATGTATAGCTGGTGGTCTGGGCTGCTGCTGCGCTGCTTCCACCCCGTGCTGCCCGCGGTGAGCCTTGAGTCGACTCAGGCGCCTTGGACGTCAAACTTCAGGACAGTTGCTGATTGTGGCGATTGTTCTACTGAGCGGGACAGTTACTGCTGAGCTTGTGAACCAATGATTGCATGCACACATAGACAAGTGGACCTCCGTTGGGGCTTGCTTGCTTCCTCCTCTCATGTTGCTGAGTGAAACTGTGAAACCCGTGGCTGCGTGACGTAAGGTGCCATGCAGTAAAATGAACGCCTTTCTTATTGCTTGCCCATGGACTGTCGACGCAACCTTTCAGTGCCCACCTTCTCGACCATCTCTCACTGCCATCTCTTTCTTTGCCTTGTCCTTTCCTCTCCGCCCACCCAGCAACTGCGTCACTGGAAGATTCGACCCAACCCTCGTGCACCCCACCCCACGCCTCCCCATCATGCTGCTGCTGCTGCTCCTGCTGACCGTGCCGCTCGCCCTGCTTCACCTGCTCCTGCTGCTGGCGCTGGTGCTGCTGATGGTGCTGCCGCTGTTGGTGCTGCTGCTCCTCGTTTGGGAGAAGATGTGGGCGGCAGGGAGGGAGGGGAGAGGCGTGTGGGGCGGAGCAGGAAGAAGCAGAAGGTCACTAGGCCCATGCGGGAGGTCAGTCTGAGCGAGGAAGGGGATGAAGCGAAGCAAGGCAGTGAAGGGAACGCGGGGAGTGAGGGAGGAGGGGATGGCAGGAAGGGGCTTAAAGGGGTTGCAATGCCAAGAGCGGAGGAAGGGGCAGGGGAGGAAGAGGTGGATGGTGGTATGGCGCAGGGGGTTGAGCAGAGGGGAAAGCACAGGGCTGAGCAGGAGGAGGAGCAGGAGGAGATGGAGAGGAAGCAGAGACGGGGAAGGAAGGGCGGGGATGCTGCTGCTTCCAATGACGCCGCTGCCAATGGTACTGCTGCTGGTGCTGCTGGCTGTGGCGCTGATGCTGGAGGTGCTGCTGGAGTGGAGAAGCAACCAGGGCATAAGCAGGTGAGCTTAGCAGGGAGCTGGGGTGACAGTAGGGTAAGTGCGTCCCACTCCTTCCTCACTTGTTGCTCCCAGTTTAGTCATGGTAGTGCTGCTTCTGCGTCTGCTGCTGCTGCTGCTGCTGCTGCTGCTGCTGCTGCTGCTGCTGCTGCTGCTGCTGCTGCTGCTGCTGCTGCTGCTGCTGCTGCTGCTGCTGCTGCTGCTGCTGCTGCTGCTGCTGCTGCTGCTTCTAATGCTGCTGCTTGGTGATCATACCGCTGATGCTGCTGGTTGGAACAAACAGGTGAGTAGAGCAGCAGCAAGCAGAGATAAAAGCCCACTTCTGACTTTCCTGCCCGTTTTCGTCCCACGCACTGCCTTCCCTATCAGCAACATCAGGGCGGAAAACCTGTCCTGTTCTCGTGTTGCTTCGTTTAAGGCGCCTAAAAAGCTCGTCTGTGTCCCTTCGCTGCCTTTCCCCTGCAGCATTCCAAGGGGAGGAAGCTTCCCCTTGTGTTCCTGCGAACGCGGCAAGCTGCTGTGGATGCGTATGTTGGTGCGGCAGGGGGAGGTGGGGGAGCGGCAGCAGATGGGATGCATGGGGCGCAGAAGAAGAGGCGAAACCCAGAAGCAGCAGGCGGAGGAGGAGGTGCAGGAGCAGCAGTAGTAGGAGAAGCAGGGGCAGCTGAAGCAGCAGCGGGAGAAACACGTGCAAAGGTGACACAAGCAGAGGCAGAGGCAGACGGAGAGGGCTTGGGGCGAGAGGGCAAGGAAGGAGGTGAGCGGGGGAAGAGGAGCAGCGGGAGAGATCGCAAGGGGAAGGTTCCATGGGCTGGGCGGCGGCATGTGAGGCGGGTGGAGTATGAGGAGGTGGAGGAGGAGGATGAAGAACAAGAGGAGGATGGAGGGAGGGAGGAGGATAAAGAAAGGGAGGCGGATGAAGGGAGGGAGAAAAGGAAGGAGGGGGAGAAAGGGGAGGGAGGGGATGGGAGGGACGGAGGAGGTGAAGGGAGAGGGGCGGTTGGAGGGGTGGAGGGGAGTCGAGGGAAGGGGGGAGGGAAGGGGATGGGAGTGGAGAGAAACGGAGGAGCAAGGGAGGAATTTGAACGTGAGAATGGGGTTAGGAAGGGGACGGACAAGGAATTGAGGGAAGGGAGAGAGGAGAGGGGGGGCAGGGAGGGCAGGGAGGGCAGAGAGCAGCGAGAGGAGAGGCAGGGGGGAGAGCAGACGGGGGACAGGGAAAAACAAGTTGATGGTGGTATGGAGGAGGAGGAACAGGAGGAGGAGGAGCAGGAGGGGCAGGAGAAGGAGGAGCGCGTGCTGTTCCGGTTCCTTCAAGTGAGCAAGGAGGATAGACAGGCGGAAGGCGATGGGCATGCTCCGGACATGGAAGGAGCCGCAGCAGAGAGGCAGACACTTCCCAAGGCCAAGGTTGGGGGAAAGGCTGCGGGGAAGGATAAGGCGCAAGGACGTGCAGAGATTGGGGCAGAGGCAGAGGAAGAGGCACGAGTTGCGGCAGGGGCGGAGGGAGAGCAAGTAGCAGAGGAAACGAGAGGAGAAAGAGCTGATGCACGGTTGAATGGAGGTGACGCAGGGGTGGGGTTGGAGGCCATGGCAAGGCGTGGGGAGAGCGGTAATAACATGGGTGCAGCAGCACCCCCAGGCACACCTGTGGGCGCGGGCATGCGGACGGGTATGGGCATGGGCATGGGTGGTGTTAATCACATGGGTACCCCTATCGGCAGTGGCAGGAAGCGGTGTGTGGTGCTGGTGTGTTCAGTTTGTGGGCATGGGCCAGGGGGCAAGGGCAGGGCGACAGGGGGGCATGCAGGGCCGTTGTTCCCGTGCGAGGGGTGTGGAGAGATGTTTCATTTTGACTGCGCGGGCATGCTGTTTCAAAACGTGTTGGAAGTGAGTGCATGGACGTGTAAGGGGTGCTTGGAGGAGGAGGAGAGGGAGAGAGAGAGGGAGCTGGAGAGTGTGCGGAGTGAGCGGAAGAAGAGGATGAGCCTGTCTCCTCTAGCGGCGAGGCTGCAGAGGAAGCTGCAGCAGCAGGAGGAGGGGCAGGGGCAGGGGGAGTGGGAGGGGGAGGGGGAGGGGGAGGGGGAGGGGGAGGGGGAGGGGGAGGCGCAGGGGCAGGGGGAGGGGCTGGTGGAGAGGCAAGGGGAGGAGCAGGGAGGTGAGGGCAAGAAGCAGAGGGGGGTAGGAGAATGGGGAAAGAGGGAAGCGGATGGGGATTTGGAAGGCGGGAATGGGAGAGAGAGGAGGGGCGGAGGTGGGGCGGAAGGGGGAGGAAGTGGGGAGAAGGAGAGGAGGAGTGGAGGAAAGGGGAAAGGGAAGGGCGTGCAAGAGGGGTTGGAGGAGCGAGATGGAGTGGCAGAGGTACGTGTTGTTCTTGACTCCCGAATGGCAGCAGCAGCTGGGGAGGAGGAAGAAGAGGAAGGGGAGGAAAGGGGAGAGGCGCGGGGTGCAGGTGGGGTATTGAAGGGAGGGAATGCAGCAGGACGCAAGGAAAAAAGCAAGGAGAGTGGGAGAGCTGATGGGAGGGCGGAAGGGAGGGCGGAAGGGATGGCTCAGGGGAAAGGCGGGAGGGGTGTTGAAGGCGCTGCTGCGAGTGGGAGTGGCTTGGAGGCTGTCTTAGGCAAGAGGAAGAAGGCACAGGGGCTTAAGAATGGGCAGGAGCAAGGGCAGGGCGGGGAAGAGGGCGAGGGAGAGGACGAGGGAGAGGAAGAAGCAGCAGGTGGTGCAATGAATGGGTTTAAGAAATCCCCTTTCAAATCCGTTGCTGGTGACAGGGGTGCTGATGGGGGGCTTGCTGTGAGGGAAGGGAATAAACGAGTGACACGCGCATCTGCTGCTGCTGCTGCTGCTGCTGCTGCTGCTGCTGCTACAGCTGACGGTGATGATGCAGGTGGTGCGAGGAGGAAAGGTGCGAGGGCTGGGAGTGGGGAGAGGGGCAGGGGTGCGGGGATGGGAGGGGAGGGTGTGGAGGGTGTGGAGGTGGAGAGGGAGGGAGCAGAGGGGGGAGTGGCTGACCTGTTTGAAATGGAAGATATATCTGAGGCGGAGGAGGTGGAGGTGGAGGAGGAGGAAGAGGAAGAGGAAGAGGAACTGGAGATGCGGGAAGAGGAGACTGGGGAGGAGGAGGGCGAGGAGGAGGAGCCTTTAACGCAGGAGGAAGAGACTGGGGAGGAGGAGGAAGAGGAGGAGAGACGAGAATTGCAAGAGGAAGGGACTGAGGATGATGGTGAAGAGGAGACAGAAGAGGAGGAGCAGGAGGAAGAAGAGGCAACAGAGGAAGAGGGAGAAGAGGAAAGAGAGGAAGAGCAAGGAGAGATGGAGGAAGGGGAAGTTGGGGGAGAGGAAGAGGAGGAGGAGGCAGACGAATCGGAAGAGGAGGACGAGGAGGGGGAAATGACAATGGATCGCAGTCGTGGTGTCAACGCTAGGGGGATGGGGGTAGGGAGGGGGAGAGGGAGAAGAAGAGCGTGGAGTAGGGCTAGGAAGAGTGAGAATACGCCTAGGGTTAAGGGACGCAGGGTAGAGGGGGTTGGAGAGGACGGGGAAGGAGGAGAAGGGAAGTGGTTGGGAAAGAAGAGGGTGGAAGGTGTGAAGGGGAGGGAAGCGGTGGGAGGGAGAAAGGGAGGTAGAAAGGGATGGAGGGAAGGGAGAGTAGGGAGAAAGGGAGGGAGAAAGGAAGGTAGAGGAGCGAGAGTAGTGGGGAGCAGAGGAGAGGAGGTTGGGGGGAAGAGCAAGCGGCAGGAGGGAAGAGGAGAGGGGGAGGCGGAGAGAAAGGCATGGAGGTGGGCGAATGAGGATGGTGGGGAAGCAGAAGGACTTGCAGGTGCATTTGGCATGTATGATGATAGAGAGGAGGAGGAGGGGGAGGATGAGGAAGAGAGGGAGGAGAGGGAAGAAGGGGAGGAGGCTGAGGGGGAAGAGGAGGAGAAAGAAGAGGGGGAGGAAGAGGAGGAGGAAGAGGAGGAAGAGGTGGAAGAGGTGGAAGAGGTGGAAGAGGTGGAAGAGGTGGAAGAGGAGGAAGAAGAGGATGAGGTGCAGGAGGTGCAGGTACGGAAGGGCTTGGGTGGGCGCAAGGACGCAGACGGGACAACAGGAGGAGCAGATAGAGGTGGTGCGAAGTGGAGAGGCAGGCAGGAGAAGGCGCATGCCACTGTTGGATATGGGAGAGGTGGTGCTGCTGGCTCACATGGGAACAGTGGAGCTGCTGCTGCTGCTGCTGCTGCTGCTGCTGCTGGTGGAAACGGGAGTGGTCGTGCTGCTGGGAAGGATGTGCGAGGGAAGGGAGGGGTTGAGAGGAAGGAGTTGGGACGAGGTGGCAGGGAGGAAGGGGGGGATAGGACGAGTAAGGGACTGCGGGAGATGTTGGAGCAGCGAGCACGGAAGGGAGGGGAGAAGGAGATGGGAGATGATGTGGTGAAAAGGAGTGAGAATGGTGAGAAGGGCATTTCTGATCATGCTGCTCGTGTTGAGCGTGCTGCTACTCCTTTGCACGGGAAGGGGGGAGAGGAAGGAGAGCAGGAGCAGGGGGGGATGCGGAGCGGGGGCAGTGTGAAAGGCAAGGGTAAAGCACAAGGAAGGGTGGCATTTGATGCGAGGGATGAGAGGGCGGAGGGGCCTGAGATAGGGGTGAATGGGTGGGCAGGGGCTGCGAGAGGTAAGGTGATGAAAGGGAAGGGGGGATCAGCGAGTAAGGGACAAAGGCAGAGGGAGGAGGAGGAGGGGGGGGGAGAGGATGGGGACGTGCAAAAGGAAAGGAGAGATATTGGTAGGAGGGGCGGGAAGGAGAAGCAAGTTGAGGGGGCAAAGGGGGCAGCGGTGCAGGGAGTGGGGAAGGGGACGGCGGGGGGAATGGCTGGGCAGGTGAGGAAAAAGCTGAGCCGTGAATTGAAAGGGCTTATGCGAGCTGGACTGCTGAGAGGGTGGGGTGGTGGTGGCGTGGGGGGAGCAGAGAATAGGAGGGGGTTAGAGGAGGAGCAGGAGGAGGAGGGGAAGGAGGTCGAGGAGGAGGAGAAGGAGGAGGAGGAGAGGGAGGAGGAGGAGGGGAGGGAGGGGAATGATGTTGATGAGGAAGAGGAGGAAGGGGAGGTGCGTGCAGCATCTCCTTCTGAGAGGGTGGTTAAGGGTGCTAGTGCCGCTGGCGGTGCTGCTGGTGGTAGGGTGGGTGGGAGCGGGTTGAAGAGGCGAAGAGGGGAGGTGGTGGGGTCGGCAGGGAGGAGGAGTAAGAGGCGAGTGGGCGTTGCTGGTGGTGGGGGCGAGGAGGAAGGAAATGCCGTGGGAGGAGGCAGGTGGGGAGGTGGAGCGCGTGGGCGACCGAGGAGTGAGGAGCAGCAGGAGGAGGAGGATTGGAGGAAGGAGGTGGATGCGGTGCAGCAAGAGGAGGATGTCGAGGAGGAGGAGGAGGAGGAGGAGGAGGAGGAGGAGGAGGAGGAGGAGGAGGAGGAGGAGGAGGAGGGAAGGAAGGCACCGGCCAGGTGAGATGGTGCTCTGTTTTTCGTTTGTAGCACCAATGCTGACTGGCAGAGCCACCAACCTGTCATGCCATGCCAGTTCGCCTCATATTACGAAGAGGTCACTTTGTCATGCGGCCTCTCCTTGTCATGCGGCCTCTCCTTGTCATGCGGCCTCTCCTTGTCATGCGGCCTCTCCTTGTCATGCGGCCTCTCCTTGTCATGCGGCCTCTCCTTGTCATGCGGCCTCTCCTTGTCATGCGGCCTCTCCTTGTCATGCGGCCTCTCCTTGTCATGCGGCCTCTCCTTGTCATGCGGCCTCTCCTTGTCATGCGGCCTCTCCTTGTCATGCGGCCTCTCCTTGTCATGTTGACGGATCGCACCGACGAGCCAGATTGGTGGTTCAAGCTATTGCTCATGGCTGATATATTCCTAGGTCTGGTATCTTCTCGTTGCACTCCCTCCCCCCACACGCGTTGCTTTAACGGGTTCAATATCAGCATTCAGTCGTGATGCCTCACTGCTTGTTCCATGCTTATATCCACTCCCCGTCCTTGCATCTCCCACATTGCCTGCATCAACTCTGTCCTCATCCCTGCCAGCCATGGGCGAAACCAGAAAACCACCTCTGCTCCTCGTGCACCCGCTGCCGCCGCCGCCGGTACCTCTGCTGCTCGTGCTGCTGCGGCTGATGCTCCCCCTGCTGCTCGCCCTGGCAGAGTTGCACCTCCTTCAGCACCTTTGCCTCATCCCACTGCTGCTGCCGCGCCTCCCGCTGCTGCTGCTGCTGCCGCCGAGCCTCCTGCTGCTGCTGCTGCTGCTGCTGCCCGTCCTGCTGCCCCAGCTGCTGGTGGGCGGCGAGCAAGGCACAAGTGGACAGAAGAGGAGGAAGAATTGCTGCTGGTACTCCTGTGCTGTGTTGATGCGCGCTCGCGTTCGCGCGCGCACACACACACACAATCAGACACACACTCACACACTCACGCACGCACGCACGCGCACGCGCACCCTTTCGACTCAGTATCATGTGGTCTCACCACCGTCACCTACTCTTCACCCTACATGCATCCGTCTCTCCTTGCTCATTATTCAACGCTATCGCCTCTCCAGTGTCGAGACTCCACCCATGCAACTCTCCTCCCCTGTGTCCTCCTCTTTGTTGCGAGTCCGTGCATTTGTACCGCACACTATCTCCATCTCTCCCCCTCGCTCACCCCTGTCTCCCGCTCTCTCCTTCGCTCACCCTCTCCCTCCCTTGCTCGCCCTCTCTCCTTCTCGCTCGCCCTCTCTTTCCCTCCCTCGCCCTCTTTCTCCCTCCCTCGCCCTCTCTCTCCTCCCTGCCCCCATCAGGAGCTGATGGAGAGGCACAGGGCTTCGGGGGCCAAGTGGAAGCTTATCCTGCAGGACGGCCGGTACCGCTTCCACCCCTCGCGCACCGCAGTGGACCTCAAAGACAAGTGGCGCAATCTGGTCAAGTACAAGTGCTTCTCGCCCTGACCTGATGATACCACAGCACAGATCGGACCTCCTGATTCAGTGGTATGTGGCCCAACACACACAACACAACCTGCTCAAGCACAAGTGCTCCGCGCTCTCCCACCCTGCACACCCCTCACACCCCTCAGCTGCCCACTGGCTGAAACGGCCCATTACACACAACCTGCTCAGATACAATTGCCCTGCCTGCCTTACGAGCGATGATGCAACCCATTTCATGGTAACGTAACCTGTTCAGGCACAATCGCTCTGTACGCTGACTTAACCTACCTACCTATTGACTTACCTACCTAAATACCTGCCTACCTACTTACCTACCTACCTACTTACCTACCTACCTTCCCACCTACCTGCCTACCCACCCAGCCACCCATCTACCAGCCCACCCACCTACTTACCCACCTACTAACCTATCTATCTACTATCCGAGTATTACATCGTATCCGTCTGTTTCTTGTGTTGAACAGGAACGCGTACAAGCTCAACGCCACTTACAAGCATGCCCCCTCTCGACCGCTCTCCGAAGCGCCACGCAACAGTCAGTGCCATTCAGCAGATATGCAGAGCCAACCCAGCAGAGTCGTGTTCTGCTGACACCTGCCAGCTCTCATCAGCTCGCACCACCTCTTGCTGTTCCGTGATTCAGTCCCACAGCTCAGCCGTGTGGCGCCACCTCACTGCCTCTCCATGCACCATCTTTCCAGTTTTTGACTGTTCGTACAATTGTTCTCTGCTGTAGTCCGGTCCTTCCTACTGTTGTTCTTAGCAACTGATCTTTCTTTTCTGTTTTCTCTGCCCCTGCAATTGAGGCCTTATGATTTTACATAAAGTACCGTATTACCGTATGGTTTCCAAGTTGTACCATTTTTTTGGGGCAACGTGTAATGTTTAGGTTGACATGACGTGCAAAGTACTATAAAATACTACATGACTATAACTATAACAACAGCAGGACCTACATATGGGATGGTATGGCCTGGCCCGGTTCCAGGGGAATACTCCTAGCAAGGGAGCAGAGCAGCACAAGTCAATACAGGAACTCCTGGGCAGGACGGCGCTTCTTGCTAGCATTGAACACGGCTACCACATTCACCCAGTTCAGACCATCACTGGGCAAGAGTGCTGCAGTCATCAGATCGCCCAGTTTGGCGTCGCCCAGGCAGGTCCGTTTCCACGTCTTGATACGGTTCTGGCGACTGAAGCCACCCTCGCACTCCACCGTGCTGAGGGGGAGCACAGCTACGGCCTGCCACAGTTGCACAAGGTTCGGGTAAGCTCCCATGTAGTCAGTTGACTGGAGCATGAGCGAGAGCGACTTGTGGAAGCTCATGTTGCCGTGGTTGGTATCCATGGTGTGGAGAAACAACGGTAGCTCCCTCTCGCACGCCTTGAAGCACACACCTGCCAGGATGGGAGAGCAGAGCAGTGAGAGGGGCGATAGGGGCGTATGGGAGGTGTTTAGCAGCACACCAAGGTAACCACACACACAGAGCAGACAGCACATTGCAGGCACAACCAGGTGGCGTACCAAAGAGGCGGTGGTGAAACATGTGGTCTAGCATGCCCAACCACTCGCGGCACTTCTTCATCCGCTGCGCGTTGTCGTCGGGATAGCACGACGGCCGGAAAAGCTTGGAGCCGGCCAGGTCCTTGAGGTCTTCCAGGCGGAACTCCAGTCGCGCAACGCAGACCTTCGCAAACTCCTGGCACACCGCCTTGCAGGAGTAGTAGTCCCCGCCAGTCTTATGGCCTGGGATCTTGCGCTCGTGAAGCTCGAACTCGTGCTCTGCAGCGTCGCCGTTCTGGTCCACGCCTTTGACGGTGACTTCACGGTGCTGGGGGTTGCCGTGTTTCTTCATGAACGCGTAGAGCAGGGGCGACTGATCGTTGCCGAAAAGATCCTCGCAGTCCACGTAACGCACCTCGATCGTCCTGCAAGCGAGCGACACCTCCCCCGCGACCACCGTGATGTCAACCTGTGAGTGGGGGTGGGATGAATAGTTGCTGCCAGAGGTTGATGTACAATGGGTCAGAACGGCACACAACAACCGCCACTTACAACAACCGGGAACAAGGCTGGGAAACAACCGCAAACATGTACAACCAAAACACTCCACATGTCACCTGCTGCTTCTGGAACTTGGCGTTGAGCTCGTTGAGCACGGCAAGAATGTCTGCAAGGAAGAAAAGCATGAAGCGGAATTTGAAAGAGGTGACCGTTTCATAGAGCGCGTGCTTGAAATCGTGTAGCAGGACGATCGTCGCCGGCAGAACCTTGGCGAACCGCTTGACTGCATCTCCTCTAGAGAGCCATCACACGTCGTGGATCCCCTGCATCTCCAAGTTGGTTTGGCAGATGTACTCCTGAAGGTGCTCGAATCGCCGGTGCCAGTTGCTCGACCTAGAAAGCTGCTCCACCACGTTGCGCACCGCCTGGTCTATGATGTTGAACTCCGTCACCTTCTCAGCGGCATCCTTCGCGGCCAACGCCTCCCTGCTCAAGGTAGAACAGAGAAAACGAGCGACGGAAGTGAGTGGGTAGAACAGGATCAACACTACACACCTGCCTTAAACCCAATAACACAGACGGACTTACCGATGTGCGATGCAGTGGCACGACATGAGATAGGGATTCCTCTGCCGGAGTCGTGCCACAACACCATTGCTGGTGCCCACCATGACTCTGGCGCCGTCGGTGCTGATACCAACGATCTTGGACATGTCAATGCCCACGGCGTCAAGGTGGGTCAGTAGCACATCGACGAGACTTGCCGCGTCACATTTGTCAACTGTCAACAGCGTGAGGAACTCACAGACGCTCGCGCCGTCCTTCATGAAGGTCACGTAGACGATCAGGTGCTTGCCGCGCGCCTTGTCAGTACTCTCATCGAGCTGAATGGAGATGTACGGGCTCGCCTCGATCTGCTTCAGTTGCTCTTGCCGCATGTACTTCGCGGCAGCATCTAGTAGCTCCCCGAAACCGTACCTGCATGATACAAGCACTGAGGTTAGCACGTTGCCAATCAAGACAGTTGTAACAATACAAGTACAACGACAGCTCGTACCCCGAAACTTACTCCGAAAAGTAGTTTCCCTTGGAATCCAAGGGAAGGTTCGGGACTCCGAGCTCGGCCATGAACTTGATGGTGCCCACGTAGGAGGTGATTGGCGCCTCCGCTTTGCAGATGTACACGGTAGTCTTGAGAGCGGTGATGATGTGAAGCGTGCTGCGATCCAACCCCTCGAACTCGCTCAGCAGCGTTTGACGAAGCTTCCGGCTCTCCTTCGACTTCATCTCGGCGTGTGCGTCCTGGTGTGCGGTGGAGCGCTGGTGCGTCCGGATGCTCCCCTTCTGCATGTCACGCCCTCCACTGCCTCCCTTGCCATAAGCCGTTTTCGCGCCTTCAGCTCCATGTTCCAAGCACGTGCTGCATCTCAAAATGGGGAAGCCAACGTCATCACGAGTTAAAATTAGCCACGGAAACAAAGACTCCCATGACGTCTTAAATCGGTTATGCGCTTTAGCGAAAGCGACTTCGGGGTAACGGGCCATCTCTTCGACAGTCGGCAGGCCGTCTTCATCCTCCTCGTCATCACTCCCCTTGTCCTCCACTCGTCGGATTGGACGTGCCGCCCGCTTCAAAGAGGGCTTCGGTTGTCGCCACCACTGCTTAGCACTGCCACCGCTTGATTCTTTGCGCTTCTTGTTCGTAGAGTCGCCAGCCGCATCGCCTATCTCCGTTTCTGTAGCCGTCGCTTCTGGAGGTGAAGGTTCCGTCGTGGTAGTGCAAACTTCAGGTGAGCGCAGGTCACGCCCCGATTCATCCACGCGGGTTTCATCCTCGGTAGAAGCAACTACGGGCTCCGGATCTGACAGCTTATTAGCGGGGGTTCGTAGAAAGCTGAGGCCCGTTCGCGGGGGTGATTTGTGGAGTTGACGACGTGCCTCGTCGTCACCATCAGTGGTCTCGTCATCAGCCATGGCGAGGGCCAGAGGGGTGGATGCAGGAGCTGGGCCTACGCTAGCTGTTTCTTCGCGTGGTGGTGGGGTGGTATGCAAACCCTAGACTAGACGAGATAGCGAGGAGGCAGAATTGAGAAATGAAACGAGGAGGACTGGGTTGGGTGCGTGGGAGAGACTGGTCGGTGGGTGGGGGCCTGCTGGGGAGGGAAGAAGATGCTTCCAAGCAGGACATGTCAGATTTATATGACATAGCTACTGTAGGCTATAGTGGGGTAGCACATATGGGGTACAGTTTTCTAGGGTTTGCATTTGTACCCAACTTTCCCTTAGTCAATTCATTCTCGTTCAGTTTCTCATGGTATCGAGCAGGTTCCCCTGTGGGAACTGTTCCTAGGGCCCACCACATTTTTTTTTTCCTGCTGCTGCTGCTGCTGCACGCGATGCTGCTGCACGTCTTGCTGTGCGTCGCCACCTGCCTACCTCTGAGCGTGCGCACTTTAGCCAGTACAAGAGTGTTCACACCTTGTACGACGCTGTAGTTGCGCGCTACTCCTCCCCTGCCACTGCTGCACTGAGCCGCCTCATGCTACCGTACCTCTTCCCTGACCTTGCTGCCTTTCCCACAGTCGCTGACCTCATTACGCACCTCCGCACTAGTGACACTCGCTACCGCGCTGCGCTTCCTCCTGAATTCTGCGCCAAGAACCCCCCCCCCCCATGTACATCACCCTCTACTACATAGTCACCCGGCTCCCTGACTCCCTTCGCGTAGTCAGGGACCACTTCCTCTCAGTTTGCCCCACCACTCTCACCGTTGACCTCCTCGAGAAGGCCCTCCTAGTAGCAGAGAAGAGCATAGTCGCTGTAGGAGCCTCTCGTGGTGACCCTCGCACCCCCGTCTTTGAGGGGTGTTCCCCCTCCCCCCTTTTGCCCTCTGTTGCCTCTGCTGCTGCGGCCGACCTCGTTGGTTTCGAGTCGGTCGGCGCTGCGTCTGCCCCGAGCGGGAGACGCCGCACCGGCAAGGGCAAGGGGGGCAAGGGTGCTGGAGGGGTTGGCGGGGGTGGCGGAGGTGGCGGTGGAGGCAGTGGAGGGGGTGGGGGTGGTGGTGGGAGTGGTGGCGGGGGTGGAGGTGTCGGTGGCGGCAGTGGAGGCGGAGGCGGCGGCGGCGGTGGCGGTGGGAGCGGAGGTGGCGGAGGTGGCGGCGGTGGAGGAGGCGGCGGCGGAGGAGGTGGAGCTGGTCGGGGTGGCGCTGCGCAGAGGGTCGGCTCCGGTGGTGGTCAGCGCCAGCAGCAGCAGCAGCAGCGGCAGCAGCGCACTCGTGACATCCCCCCCCCTCAGCAGCTCCGTGAGTGGTACGCTGCACGCCAGCGGGGTGGGGGTACTGGTCCGTGCACCTACGTCCTACGCACCGTCGACCGCGCGGGTGAGCAGTGCGGGGGTGCGCACTCCACCCAGCGCTGCTTTGGCCGCCTGACGGACGCTTGGTGTCACCAGTTCCCTGAGGCCACTGAGATCCCCCGCTGGGGCGAGCTGTCTAGGGCGGGTGTAGCTGTCTTTGACCTTGACTTTGATGCTATTCTTGCTGCCATGTATGCTGTGACTATTAGTGATGAGGGTGACTGTTACCGGTGTTTTCCGCCCGACCCGGGCATTGAGACTGCTGCTCTAGGTACTGGTGAGGCTGCTGCTCTAGGTGCTAGCGAGGCTGCTGCTCTAGGTGCTCGTGTGTCTGCTCCCTCAGGTGCTGGTGAGTCTGCTCTCTCAGGTACTGCGTCGGCTTCGGCCTCCCACACCTTCACCCTTGACTCGGGGGCTTCTCGCTCCTTCTTTCGAGACCGCACCACACTCACGCCGCTTGGCCGGCCAGTTGCAGTCTCTCTGGCAGACCCCTCTGGGGGTCCTGTCCTTGCTCACTTCTCCACTGTCCTCCCGTGTCCGGCGGCCCCCTCTGGCACCCTGTCTGGTCTTTACCTCCCCTCGTTCTCTACGAACTTGGTGAGTGGTGCTGACCTACAGGATGCGGGGGTTCACCAGTTCACTCCTGCGAGTCAGCGGGTGACCCACTGCACGGACGCTCGGACAGGCCGACACCTGGCCACGTTTACACGTCGGCCGGGGTCGAGCCTGTACACACTGACCACTGCGTCTCCTCCAGTCACTGCGTCTGGTCAAGTAGCTGCGTCGGGTCAGGTGTTTGCTGCAGCGTCCAGGTCTGGTCCTGAGTCTGCACCCTGTTCGTGTCGCCTCCTGTCGCACGAGACTCTCCTCTGGCACCACCGCCTTGGTCACCCCTCCCTGCTTCGTCTCCGAGGCATGGCCTCCCGTGTCCTTGTCTCTGGTCTTCCCCGGTCCCTCCCTCCCCTTCCTCCGGGGCCAGGCCCTACCTGCGTCCCTTGTGTCGAGGGGCGGCAGCGGGCTGCCCCTCACTCCTCCCAGTTTCCTCCGACAGAGGCCCCGCTGCAGACGCTTCACATGGACGTGTGGGGCCCGGCCCGCGTCCGTGGACAGGGTCACGAGCGCTACTTCCTGCTGGTGGTTGACGACTACTCGCGTTACACCACAGTCTTCCCCTTGCGCAGCAAGGGTGATGTGACTGAGGTGTTGATCGACTGGATCCGCGCAGCTCGTCTCCAGCTCAGGCAGAGCTTCGGCTCGGACTTTCCTGTTCTGCGTCTGCACTCTGACAGAGGTGGAGAGTTCTCCTCTGGCCTTCTGCGAGCCTACTGTCGTGCACGAGGCATCCGCCAGACCTTCACGCTTCCGGACTCTCCACAGCAAAATGGGATTGCTGAGCGCCGCATTGGCATGGTCATGGACGTCGCCCGTACGTCCATGATGCATGCGGCTGCCCCCCATTTTCTGTGGCCGTTTGCGGTTCGGTACGCGGCGCATCAGATCAACCTTCACCCCAGGGTCTCCATGCCGGAGACCTCCCCAGCTTTGCTGTGGACGGGGAAGGTTGGCGATGCGTCTGCGTTCCGTGTCTGGGGATCTCGGGCGTTTGTCCGCGACTTGTCTGCGGACAAGCTGTCCCCTCGTGCTGCTCCTTGCGTCTTCCTTGGCTTCCCCCCTGACGCGCCAGGGTGGCAGTTCTACCACCCCACCTCTCGCCGTGTTCTGTCCTCCCAGGACGTCACGTTTGACGAGTCGGTCCCCTACTACCGCCTCTTCCCCTACCGCACTCCGTCCCTCCCCCCGCCACCGCTCTTCCTTGTGCCAGGTCCCCCCCCGGTAGACCCCCTCCCCCCTCAGGGTCCTGCCCCTTCAGGTGTGTCCCAGGTAGACGCCGTCGAGCCTGTCGAGGTTACTGGTGACTCTGGTGCTGCTGAGGGTGCTGAGCCTGGGGGTGCTGACTCTGGGGGTGCTGAGCGTGTGGGTGCTACGCCTGGGGGTGCTGAGCCTGAGGGTGCTACTCCTGGGGGTGCTGAGCCTGGGGGTGCTGGGCCTGGGGGTGCTACTACTGGGGGTGCTGAGCCTGGGGGTGCTGAGCCTGAGGGTGCTGAGCCTGGGGGTGCTACGCCTGGAGGTGCTGAGCCTGGGGGTGCGGAGCCTGAGGGAGCTGGGCCTGCTCGTGTGGCGTCTGGCGGTGCTGAGCCTGGAGGTTCTTCGGGTGCTTCGTCTCGGCGGGAGCCACTCTCTCCACAGGAGCTGCGCGAGTGGTTTGCCCGGCGCTGGAGGCGTGCTGCTGGAGCTGGAGGTTCTTCGGCTGCTGAGGGTGCTGGTGCCGCGGGTCCCGGAGGTGCTCGTACTGGGAGTACTGGAGCTGCTGGGCCTGCGGGTACGACTGGAGCTGGAGCTGCTGAGGGTGTTGACGCTGAGGCTACTGCTGTCGGTCCTGGAGGCGGTCCTGCTGGGGGTGCTACTGGTGCTGCTGGAGGTACTGGAGCTGGAGGTGCTGCTGGCGCTGGTGCTGCCGCTGGGGGTACTGGTGCTGTCCCTGCCGTGTCTGGAGTCGCCGCGCGGCCTCGGCCGTACTTCGTTCCGCTCCTTCAGCAGGTTCTTGGTCTCCCGCCTTCTACTGGTCCTCCTCCTCCCTTAGAGTGTCCACAGCCTGTCCCGTCACAGTTACAGTTACAGCCGGCCTCCCCACTGCCCGCTCCTTCTCCCTACACTGGTCCTACTGGAGGTCTGGCTGAACGTCGTGAGCCTGCGTCTCGCCCTGCGTCGCCTATCCGTCCTGCTCGCTCTAGTGGTCGTGGTTCGCGTCAGCGTCCTCCTCCTGTCCCTGGCACGCACCGGATGTCTCTGCGTCCGTCCACTGCTCCTCTGCGTGCCCCTTTGCCTTCTCCTCCTGAGTCCTCTCTTCCTGCTCTTCCCGACCCGGAGTCGGACTCTCTTCGTGCTGCCAGTCCTACTGTCACGCGTCTCCTTGCTACTGTCGTCACTGACCCTTCCTTTGAGTCCACTGCTGCGTCTGCCCTAGTTGCTGAGCTCGTCGACTTTGCTGCTCGCTGTCGTCTAGACTACGCTGCTAGTCTTGTCGTTGAGTCTGAGTCTGTCTGTCCTCCGTCCGTCGGGGGTGAGTGTGCCCTTGGCACGGACGTGTGTCTAGACTACGCTGCTAGTCTTGTGACCCCTTGTTCTCCCCCACTTTGCCTATGGGGGTGTGTCTAGGCCTGTCTTAAATATCAGTGTTAACAAAATGAACACTTTTTCGGCTAAGGGTGCCTCATAAAACAACTTTTAAAAACAAGGGTGAACACCCAAACCCACCCTTATAGTAAGGGCCATAAGGGTGTTTTACCCTGATATCGAGAGGCCTGACGTACACTCATGTGGTTATCCCACAATCTAGCTAGCTCGGTTATCTTCAAAACCAAGTTCATTCCATCCAGGCCCAACAGTAGTGCACATGGTGCTTTTATAATTGTGGATTTTGAGGGCAAAGCTGCATGTTCACGTGTAGGAATCAAATTTATCATGGAATTAAATATATGGTAGATGTCAGAATTGAAGGGGGAAACTACAACTGAAGTAAATGGAATTGCAGGTACATACAGTACCTATTCTAGTCTCTTTCTATAGCTTAACACCATATTCAGATAAATGTGTTTTGGTATAAAAAAATATTAATAGCTAGACCACCTTGGCCTGACCCGTGCCTCGCCGCCTCCGTTTCCTCCCTACTTCTTCCTCTGGTACAGCTTCTGGCACTCCATTAGATGCTGGGGCAACTTCAAGTGCAGGCTGTTGGGGCGACGCGGCAGAAACCATGAGCGCAGGCGATGTACCGGTAGGAGATGTGACTGGGAGCAGAGCACCGCCATTATTTGCACTTGTGCCTCCTGATGCAGCCACGGCTTGCATGAGCGCCTGAACCTGGGCATGAGCTTGTGCTGCTGCCTGTGCTTGGATGTGGGCTGCTGCAGCCGCCATCCCCCACTGCTGCGCCACAGCTGCTGCATCAGCAGCCGCTGCTGCCGCAGAAGCTAATGAGGGATGCTGGACCGCAGGCAGTCCAGAAGGTTGCATGGTGGTAAACATGGGAAGCTGCATTGAGAAGGATGGAAGGCCGAAAGGCAATGTTGCAACCGTGGAAGCTGGAGCAGCAGCAAGTGGCTGTAGTCGGGTTGATTGTAGATGTCGTTGCCTGCGCATAAGGAAAAATAAAGAAACAGACGATGAGCCTCGAGAAAAAGTGCGAAGGAAAATCAACGACTAATTTGACCGTGCCAAGAACGATAGGGAACATAAGCGAATGCCAGCAGCAAAGCACTCACTTTGGCTTCAGCGGAGCTTGTCGTTGGTTGGCGGGTGCAGCGACTCGAGCAACAGCGGCAACAGCGGCAGCAGGCGTGGCGGCATCAGCTGGAGGAGCCGCGGGTGCCTGCGCGTTATTGGGCTGGGTAGCGTCACACCATGACGATCCCACCATCGCCAGCACCGACGCCGCCTCCACAGCAGCGTCCACTTCGCCGTCAGCATCGGCAGCATCAGTGTCCCGGACCTGCGTCGTTTCTGCCGCGGCCGCGTGAGCACCAGCTGCGTTCCGTTTCGCCGCGTCTTCCATCTCCTCTTCTACACCGCAGCCGTTACCGCCAGTGCTGCTAAGCGGTGACGGCGATATTTCCGTCCGCGCACGTGCGCCCAGCGCTGGCCGCCCGCGACGACCCTTGCACGGTGCAGAGCCCCGTCGACGGGGAGCGGGGGAGGCCGCCAGAGCAGCAGAGCCGCCCGCGGAGCAAGAGGGGGACGTGGACGCGGATAACGGAGTGGCAAGTGGCGGAGGTGCCGTGGAGGGGTGCGAGGAAGCGGAGACGCCGTCATTACTCTGAAGCTCTGCGTGCTGACGTGGATGCTCCGGCGAAGGAGCGAGTCCGGGTAGCTCATCTGTCCACGCCGCGTCCCCGCCCACTTGACGCCTCTCAACTGTAACAGCAGCCAGTTCACCGCCTTGTCGCCGCGCATCAGCCGTAGTCGCCTTGAGCTCGTTCTGGCGTAACCACCACGGTTTCGTGCCCACATCCGCGGTGCCGTCTTGTCCACATACGCCGGACGCGGGCTTCACGACAGAAGAATCGAAACTGTCCCGTCGCCGCTTCTTCCCCGCGAGGTCATTGACGATCTTTGCGCCACTCGCGCTAACGTCTAGCGGCTCCGTGCCCTCTCGCACCGTTCCTTCCACGGCTATCATATTCAGATCGAAGCCCTCGCGTTGTTGCTCGTCAATGCGACACTGCGCACGTGCTTCTTCCCCACCCTCAACACGAAAATTGCCTTCCATGGCTTGCGCCCTTTCCACCGTCGCGTCGTCCGCCTCGTCACCCGAGGCTTCGTCAGCGGAATTAGGAGCCCGTGCTGTTTGCGGCGGGGCATTGACGTTGTCGGCCGCTTTGGCTCCAGAAGCAGGGAGGGAGGGCTGCTCCGCTGAGTTCGTGGCTTCCTCGATGCGTCGAATGCGGGAATGCAGGGATTCGATGTAGTCATACACCTCCGCTAAAAATGCTGCCGTGTTGGTCCGCCCCTGGTGCGGAACGAGTCGTTTAAGTGCGTCAATGCTGAAATCAGGAACAAGGGGGAAAGAGGAAAGTGAATATCGCGAAGGAAGGCATAAAACCGGAAACTTTCGTCTAATGAACAAGAGCGCACCTGTCAGATATCCTGGCTCGACGTCTTTGTTCCGCTTCCATGTGCTTAGCTGCGCAGACACCGCTCCGCGATCCTAAAGTGCCTCGTTGGTTTGCGGAACCAACTTGTTGCTGACCAGGTAATGTTGAAACTACCCCGGAAGGCGTGGTAGCAAAGGCCATAGCCTGTGGAGCGAAGCAAGGGGAAAGCGTTACGCCGAAAGGGAAGCTCGCCGCCATTGGATTGGGTAAGTGTCCGTTTAGGTGCTGCATCGTGCCGTTGGCAGGAGATTAGACTGTAAAGATCTGGATCAGCGAAGGGCAATTTGGTTGTGTTCTGCAGGGGAGATGTTTGTGCATTCAAGGAGATGGACTGATAGCTAGCAAGAAAAGTAATCATAGATGGACTGGGGTTACCCTGGTTCCGTGGATGAAAGCTCGATGTGAGAGGTGGGCTTCCAGAAAGCTTGGCTCATCGAGAGACAAAGGGTCAAACGACCTTTCGACGTTCCTGGGGTCACTCAACGTGATTGTTGAAACCCCACTCCCATCTTGGGGTTCCAGCGAGACGCGTTGTGCAAGTGAGCTCTTGGTGGCCTTTACGAACCTGAAAGGCCATAAAGGCGAGGCGCGTCTGAAGGCCTGCTTTCACGCTCGATCACCCGAGAATCTTGCGGTCCCTCGTGTTTGGGAATTGCTTGCGCCTCCGCGTGGAAGCCCTACTAGCCATCACGTGACATAAAATGGTTGTGAAGATTGCTGGATATTACACGTGGTGCACCAAGTTCAGTTTCCAGGTCATCCAAAGGTGTTTGATGGGGATTCTGCTGTTACCACGTGAACATAACCCAATCATAAATAGCCACGAAAGCATATAGCGTAGCTCCGTCGAGAGGTGTGAGGAGTCACAACACCAAAGCAAGGTGGACAACAATGAGGCTACCTGTTGTTTTCGCTACAAGCCTACTCGGAAAAGGGTAATGCCAACAAACGACTGTCACAACTCTACCATGTGAGGAACCATTTTCCCACTTCGTCCTTGCTAGCTGCACGTACTGAGAAAACATAAATTTACCACATAATTGTTATTGTTTAACAGAAGCCCTGTAAAAAATCATATGTTTTTTCATGCATCCAAAGTGAGTAGGATTCAGAAAACGCATGATCCAAGCATTGGAGGTAGAGATTGACACTAAACGCATGTATCTATAATCAATAACTCACTCATGTACCACTCAAACAGATACTGCATGCTCAGGGCAGGTCTCATTCATCCAGTTATGTTTCATCAAGAGTGTTCCACTACTATTTCGTATTGCTCACCGGGGCTCACACAGATGACCTGCCCTGAAGTAACTGGTGGTGGTTTGCTCCACCGAAGGTCTCAACAGCGAACTGGTGGTGGTTTGCTCCCTGCATTCGCCACCGTTCTCTCTCGATGTTTGAATGCTTACAGGATTGAACCGTATTGTAACTGTCGGCAGAACATACTACCGTAGAAAGCCTCTCTTGAAGTGCTGGCTTTGGCACCTGCCCCTTTCAACGCACCATGACATCAGCCTCCCCTTTTCCCTTTCCCTCATTCTGTCATTTCTTGTCCTACGCGCAGAGCACGTGTCACACGCATTCTTGTTTTTTTTAGGGAACGAAGCTTTACGGTTCCAACTAGGCTGGTCCGTGTATAAGATAAAGCGACGGTATACTGCAGCTGATTTTAGAGTTATCTTTTACATTACAGAGATGGCGGCCGTGAGTGCGACTGTCAGGAATCATCGGCAGAGGACAGAAGAGGACAGCAGCGACGGCTACGATCAGGCGGACTATCACGAGCCCAATCTCCATGCGGCGGACCGAAGGCACGAGCAGAGCTACCAGTACCACTCATCCCACCCCGCTGCACCGGCATCAGCGCCAGCGCCGCCGGTTCAGGGCATTCCAGTAGCGTACGGCCAGCCAGTGCCGCCCGTGGCGGGGTATCCGCCTTCCCAGCCGTACCCGCAGCCTTCCGCTTACGCGTACGGCGCTGCACCCCCCAGTGGAGCGGGAGCGTACCATCCGGGGGCGTCAGTGGGCGTGACGGATAGCAGCGCGACGGTGATGGCGTGCCCTCGCTGCGGCGACTACTACCCCCTTCCGTACGGCGCGGAGAGCTGGCGCTGCAAGCGGTGCGGGAAGCTGAACCACCTGCGACCCGAGAATTTCTGCTCCGTGCTGTGACGAGAGGATTCGTGCAGGGAGCGAGGGCTGGGAGGGAAGAGTTGGCGCGAGTGGCGGAGAGGATTGGCGCGAGTGGTGGAGAGGATTGGCGCGAGGAGTGATTTTTAGGTCTTGGATGGCGGGGCTGGGGAGTGGTGGTTGTGATTGTGGGTGGTGGTGGAAGGGAGAGCGAGGCAGAGGTAAAGTTGTGGCACATGGGTGGAGGAGAGTAAAAGGAGGTCATGCATGGGTTGGAGGTTGCATGCATGCCTGGATGTGCTGTGCGTGCACTGGGTTGCTTGCTGGGCGGCTTGTACAGTTTGGTGCTTGTTTATTGCTGAAGCTTATGCTAGACAGAGTTACATGAAACATGTGGCCTTGAGTGCAGATCTCCTCGTCATGCTTAACTTAGGTACCGTACACAGAGGGGATGGATGGACCATTTTGAAATGTACTGCTATAGCAAGTGTTCCCAATGAGCCCGGGCTTGGGTTTGTACTGTGTTTCCAGTTAGTTTGTTGAGATAGCAGGCAAGCACCTACCGGTACGTACAAGGCCTGAACGGAAGTTGTTGCGTGGCTGCCTGTGTACATGTGATGATATGATTGCTTGCAGTGAGCAGGCAAGGATCTGTAGCTTGCAGCACTCCATCAGATGTCATTGATGTGTGAAATTTTGCCAGAAGCATCCATCAGGTGCGCAGTGGAACAGGTCATGTGGAGGCACTGACCATGCTTGGCTGGTTGGCTGGCTGGCTAGCTGAATGGTTTGCTGGTTGATTTGCTGGTTAGCTGGAAGCTTGGTTGCTTGGCTGGCTGGCCAATTGGCTGGTTGGCTGTTTGGTTGGCTGGCTGGCTTCTGTATGCATGCTGCATAATGTGTGTGGGTGGGTGCCATGCTGTTCCACCTTCTCCCCTGATTGCGTGCTTCCCATTCCAGCTCCACCTTACTCTCACTCACGGCCTTGAACGAGGGCTTGGCCCGTAGCAGCCAAGCCCCCCTGATGCCACAGCATCGGGCATGTCATCATGGCATGCCACAACACCTGCAGGAGGACTCTCTGTCCTGCTTGGGTGTTTGTGCCCAGGCGCCTTCCAGACTCCCACCCCACCCACCTATTTCACAACATGCAAGCCCATCCCACCACAGCACAGCGCAACACAGCACACCTAAGCATGGCTAAGGAGAGCTAAGCACGGCTAAGCACAGAAGCGGCACATGTTGAGCTGTTGGTAGTTCACCCCCTTGCGCCACCCCACATGCTCTTGGCGCTCTTGCCCTGCACATCACCACACAAGAACCACTTGAGAGCTGCCAATGGGACAGGAACAGGACATGAAAGAAAGGCAGGGAAAGAGAACAGGAAGCCAGTTACAAGCTGCAAAAGCGCACATGAACAGAAGCGAGGCTGAACAAAAGGCAGATCGCCTTTTGTGTATCACGTCAGATCGCTATGGTGTAGCAAGCACTAGAGAGAAATACGTAAGCAAGGCCATCAACTCACCCCTGCAGAATCTCCCATCACACCTACCATGTATGTAGAATACGCAGCATTGCTGATTCTGCCACTACTTCCCGGTTGGTGTTGCAAGAAAGAGCCACTGGACATGGAGAGCGGAGGGAGGCCAGGGCACCATCATAAAAGGGTACAGAAAGAGGGGAGGACGAACAACATGAGACACCAGAGCCTACGCAAGAACCAACTGATGTTGCAACAAAAAGCAATCGAGAGAAATGGGAAGCGCTGCTCACCCCTCCATTGCTGCAGCTGCAACCACTGTAGTGGCCATTGATGGTGCAACCACCGCTGCCACCACTGCTGCTGGTTCCCCTGCCAACCACCGCTGGCACCTTCTGGTGCTGGATAGAAGGTCTTGCCCTTGTGGTGCTGAAAGGGAGTAGAGCAAGGTAGAAGAGAGGGCAGGAAAGGAGGGGTTTGAGAGCTGAGCAGAGTGGCATGCACACCTGGCAACACAGCAGCAAAGACACATGGGCACCGTGGAAGGATGGAAAACAAGATAGAACGGCACAATAGAAAGCATGACAAGGGCGATTGGAGAAGTGGGAGAATTGTTCATCTGATCCACTCACCACTCACTGGTGATCCCTGAGTTGCTGCAGCCACTGCTTCCTTGAGTGCTGGAGGTGAGGGGAAGACGGATGGCAAGGAAGAGCAGGAGAGGCCCTAGCAGGGAGAGGAGAAGCGAGTAGATGAGATGCTGAGGATGAGAACGAGCACTGACATGCCAGAAGCGAGTGGTGATTAAAGGTCTCGTAACAGAGGAGAGGAGAGGAGAGGGTAGGAAAGGAGGGGACTGATAGCTGAGCAGAGTGGCATGAACATATGGCAACACAACACAGCATAAAATACACAAGGGAGCCGTGGAAAGATGGAAGACAAGACAGAACGGCACAAGAGAAAGCAGGAAAAGGTGAATGGAGAAGTGGAATACAACTTAATATGATCCACTCACAACTTGTTGACTGCTCGCTATCATCCTGCACTTGCTGCAGCCACTGGTGATCCCTGAGTTGCTGCAGCCAGTGCCCCGTTGAGTGCTGGAAGAGAGGGGAGGAAGGATGGCAAGGAAAAGGAGGAGAGGCGTGCGAAAAGAACCGAGTGGATGAGAGGCTGGGGATGTAAACAGAACACGACACACCAGAGGAGATGGCAGATGGAATCTGGAGGGCGGACAGAGACTTGAACATGACGCAGGATGCACCTTTATCCTGGGAAAGTAGAAGCTTGTTGTGAAGACCCACTCCAGAGCTTGGGGGCTGAGAGGCACACTCACAACCCACACACACAAACATACCAGCACACGCATAAACGCGCGCGATTCCCCGTCCACTCACTGCCATTCCCGTCCGTCTCGCAGGCCGTGAGGCACACACACACATGGGGAGAGAGGCAGCCACACAAACAGAAACGATGCAACAAGGGAGGGTTAGAAACAGCAAGAGGCGAGTGGTGGAGGCAAGGTCAAGAGGCATGACTCTTGCCTCTGCGCAGCGACGCTCTAGGACTCACTAACACTTCCCCCCCGCAAGCATCCCTTAGCACGTACCATGCTCCAGCTACGCGTTTTCTCCTCCTTGGCAGAACCTGCGGCTCCTTTCTCACGCCTTCGCCTCAACCCAAGCAGAACCCCCTTGGCAGAACCTACGCCTCCAGGCTCCAGGCTCCAGGCTCCAGGCTCCAGGCGTGCTGCTCCAGGTTGCTGGTCTCGTTGTCTGCTGTTGATACCGGCAATAGGAAGGGTGTGTGGCTTGTGAGACGGGCCAAAACCAACGGGTGGCGAGAGTTGAGAGGAGAAAGCATTGGAGCACTGAAAGACAAGCGATGAGCACTTGGCATCACAAAAGGGAAAGCGCCCGGAGGAGAAAATACTTGGCTGAAAAGTCAAGGCGCTGTTGCTACTGCTGGTACAAGTGACCAAAGCTGCTGCGGTGTCTCGGTCGGGCAGAGACGAAGCCCACAAACTTGTCAACCCCCGTCCACTCCGTGCCATTCCCCTCCGCCTCGCAGGCCATGAAAGCACACACACACACACACACACCCGAGGGGAGAGGCGCATACAGACAGAAGCAGCGCAACAAGGGAGGGTTAGACGCAGCAAGAAAGGAGGCGAGTGGCGGAGGCAAGGGCAGGAGACACGACTCTTGCCTCTGCGCGGCGACGCCCTACGACTCACTTCAACCCCCCCTGCAAGCATCCCCGGGCATGTACCATGATCCTTCACTTGAGGCGTGCTGCTCCGGGTTGTCTCTCGTGCGAGCCAGCAACGGCAGCCCATGCATTCCCCGTCCGTCTCGCAGGCCGTGAGGCACACACACACACATGCATGGGGCGAGCGGCAGCCACACAGAAACGATGCAACAAGGGAGGGAGGGTTAGAAACAGCAAGAGGCGAGAGCTGGAGGCAAGACAATCAGACAGGACTCTTGCCTCTGCGCGACGACACCTGACGACTCATTTCACTGCCCCCCTGCAAGCACACCCTGGCACGTACCATGCTCCGTCAGCCGCTGTGCTGCTCCTCGCCACGCCTCACTTGAAGCGTGCTGCGCGGTTGTTGCTGCGCCACGCCCTCGCCCCAAGCAATGCCCTGGCGCTGCTCGTGCTCCAGGTGGCTCATTGCTTCCTGCTGTTGCTGCTGCTGCAGTCGTTGCTCTCGCTGCAACCGCCACCCGCACCGCAAAACGCACTGACGCTCTGACGCTCCTGAAACGCACTGACGCCGCACACTGATGCACCACATCACATCATACGGCGACTCACTCAACGCGCAGGCTTGGAGGCCATGAGGCACGCACTCACAGACACACGCATGCATGTCATCACAGAAACAGAGACACGGAGAAATGGTTGGTTAGTTGCAAAATGGGAGTGGCGACTAACGGCAAGAGACTGGACTCTTGCCTCTGCGCGGCGACGCCATACGACTCATTTCACCCCCCCCCTGCAAGCACCCCCTGGCACGTACCATGCCCCGCCGATCTGCCGCTCCTGCGCCACTCCAGGCGTGCTGCTCCTGGTTGCTCGGTTGCTGCTGCTGCTGCAGTCGTTGCTCTCGTCGCGACCGCCGCCGTGTTTCTGCCGTTGACGCGCCAATGCTCCATTGATGCTTCTTCCCCTCGCTGAACGCTTGTCTCTCGTGCGGCCCAGCAACGGAAGCCCCATCCACTCCGCGCCAGTCCGCGTCCACTCCGCGCCAGTCCGCGTCCACTCCGCGCCAGTCCGCGTCCACTCCGCGCCAGTCCGCGTCCACTCCGCGCCAGTCCGGATCCACTCCGCGCCAGTCCGCGTCCACTCTGCGCCATTCCCCTCCACCTCGCAGGCCGTGAGGCACACAAAAGAATGGGAAGAGAAAACACGACACACAAGAAGCGGCGCAAAAGGAAGGGTTAGGATCAGCAGGAGAGGAGGCGAGTGGTGGAGGCAAGGGCAAGAGACTCGACCCTTGCCTCTGCGCGGCGACTCACTACACTTCCCCCCTGCAAGCACCCCCTGGCACGTACCGTGATCCGTTTGCCGCTCTGCCGCTCCTGCGCTACGCTTTCAATTGAGGCGTGCTGCTCCTGGTTGCTCGGTTGCTGCTGTGCCACGGTTCCGCTTCTCCTCGCTGGGTCGGTCGTCTCTCGTGTGAGCCAGCAACGGAAGCCCGCCCATTCTCCGTCCACTCGCTGCTAATCCCCTCCGTCTCGCAGGCCGTGAGGCACACACACGCATGGGGAGAGAAACAGCCACACAGAAACGACAAGGGAGGATTAGAAACAGCAAGAGGCGAGTGTTGGAGGCAAGGTCAAGAGGCATGACTATTGCCTCTGCGCGGCGACGCTCTAGGACTCACGTGCATGTCGCCGGCCTGTCGCTCCTGCGCCACGCTTTCACCCGAGGCGTCACGCCTGGCTGCTCGATCGGTGCTCTCGTCATGACCACCGTTGCCTCCGACGGTCGTTGCTCCAGGTTGCTCGCTTGCTGTAAGCCATGCCATCGCCCCAAGCAGCATCCTGCTGCTTCCCGTTTATCAGTCGCTGATGCTGCTGTTGGTGGTGTAGTCATTGCTCTCGTCTCGTCGTTGTCTCTGCGTCGTTGCGTTTTAGAGATGAAGCGGCGACGTCGCTTTGTCCGAGGAAATACGGTAGCAGAAACGTTGCACTGACGACGAAAAGAGCAGCGCCGTCGCTTTGACGGCGAAATATTTTTTGGACGCCCGAAACCGCAGTTGAAATTGTTTTGACGGCAGGAAAAACAGCGACGTCGCTTTGTCGGCTTCGACGGCTACTGCAGCGACGACATCGCTTTGATGACGTAAACAGTAGCGACGCTGCATTGACGACGAAACAGCATGCTGACCCGCAGCGTCGGTGGAAGCAGCGACGCTGGATTGGCGACGAAACAGCAGCGTCGGTGGAAGCAGCGGCGTGTTGCATGGCGGGGTGAGGTCGCTTGACCGCTTGCTATACCCGGTCTTAGCTGGAACGCGGTCCTGTTATCCGTCTAAGCCTGAACGCCGTCCTGGTTTCCGCCTGCACTGAAACGCCGTCATGCTACCCATTTTAACTGGAACGCCGTCATGTTATTCGTCTAAACTGGAACGCCGTCCTGCTATCTATCTCCACTTGAGCGCCGTCATGCTATCCGTCTAGACTCTTTCTGCTATCCGTCTCCACTGGAACGGCGTCAAATTAGCATCTTAGCGTCGTATCCGCCGCATCTTAAATTAAGATCCATCGTAACTCACGTATGATAGCTCCTTCACTTGGAATCCCAGTCCGCCACGACATAACAACGTCCTAACTAGATTTGGCTTAGGATGACATAATATGGTTTCGCGGCTAGTAAATATGGCTAAGCCTAACATGATTGCAGGTATGCACTACGGGCTAGTGCGACCAGCAGCTCGCATAGCTGGACATGGAAGTCAGAACGGAGATGAGAAATTGGCAGGTCTGAAAAGTAGTGCAGGTGAAAACAAGGAGGCGATGAATGGAGGTGAGTAGGGAGAAACATTTGGTTGATGCCGCGGAAGAGAATCCAAGGCAACTGCTTTCTCTCTCGCGATCACCCCAGGAGAAACCGAGGGAACGCTCTCTGCCAAGGCGGCTGAATTTGCCAACTTCCATTCCATAGTACGAATGGCATGGCGCATCATGTGAGCGAGCAAGAGGCTCGAGGCGCTGAGGTTCGGAAGAGAACCTCAACTGCCCCCTCTCTCCCGATCACCCAAGGAGAAACCGAGGGAACCTCTGCCACGCCGGCTGAAGATGCCAATTTCCATCCCATCCATACAGTTCCAATGGCACACCATGTGACTGAGCAAGAGGCTCGAAGTGGTGAGGTTCGGATGATCAGGGAGAAGCGGGGTTTGGTTGGCCGAGGCTCAGACAAGTTCAGTCAGGGCCGACATTTGAAATGTTTGGAGGGAAAATGAAAGCGCGGTGCGAAGTCATTCGAGGTCTGGAAGAAAATATGTTGCGATAAATAGTGCACTCTAGGTAGATATTGCTCTGTCCATTGAATATCAATATGTATTAAGTGTTAAACAAACCGTTAACAAAAGCTCTAGCACATCAGAAACACTTCCAAACTTTTGTACACGAGATAAAACAATTTGCATTAATGTTGTTATCTGCAAACGTCAAGCATCTCCTGGGGTTGGGTCTGGAGGGCAGAGTTTGGTGGCAAGCAGCACTTGGTGTTTGCAGATGTCATGGGTTGCTGCGTGAATCTTTGCCAAAAGTATACTTCAGTTGTGCAGTGGAGCAGGTCATGTCGTAGTAAATAGCTGAAGCAGGCCAGTGGAGTAAACCATACTTGCTCACTATCCATACATCCAATGATCAATGGACATTTGCACACCAACAAAAGCGAAAATCCTGCCTGGCATTACCTGCACCATCCCACTGTGTCTCTACGCGCCTGTTGCAGGGGCTTAGGCAGCCCCCTGGTGATTTAGGCAGCTCAGGCAGAACAGGCACTCCAATTCAAACCCGTTCAGGCAGATCAGAGAGCAGGCAGCTTGGAGACCAGTTGAGCTGAGCGGTTGAAGCGG